GCAATATGTTCGTCGTATGTTCAACGAAGTTGCTAGTCATGTGGCTGAAGTGGGCCGTCTTCTCCGCTCTACTTTCATCACGCTGGTTGGCATCAATGGCATTATAGAATATTATTGAAAGTAGGAATCGCACTGCATGTTTTGAAAAGACAACAAATTGTAGCTTGGGCCAAAAATTTTTGAAAATGCACTATAGACTTGAGAATTTTTTTAAAATTTTTTGAGAGCAAAAATATTGTTTTGTCTTTTTGTAATTTGAAAATTCAAAATCTCTACAAAACCTTCATTCACAAAGCACAACGCAATGTTTATAATTTTTTAAAATAATATTTATAAATTCTCAATATAATGTTTATAAATGCCCTATTGATATGTATGTTAATTAAAATATAAGTCATATAGGGTATAAACAACACAATATACATAAATACATAATAAATGTTTATAAATTTTTAATACAATTAAAATAATCATGCAGAGTATGTACAATACAATATTCATAAGTGTTTAGTTATTTTGTAGGTTAATTGAAATAGTTACACAGAACATGTATAACAAAATGTCCATTTGTACACAATATGATATTTATGAATTATCAACATAATATTCATAAATTCTTAACATAAAGTCCATACATGTCTAGTTAATTAATACATTTAATAAAATGTACAAGCTATATAGACAATGTATAACACAATATTTTTATATACATAATAACATGTTCATGAATTTTTAATTGAATGTTCATACGTGTCAAGTTGATTGAGAAAAAAATTATACTTGCACCTTAAAAAAATTACAACAAGCCCCTTAAGCTTGAAGTGTATTTTCAGAATTTTTCGAACCTCCAATGCAACTTTTTTCGTTTTCAAGGCCTCCGTTGTGATTTTTCCTTATTGAAGAGGATAGAGTGGGCTCTACACGGTTTTTAGGTTGTTAGTTTACCTTTTATCGTCGGGGAAAACAAATCTTAACCTCTTCATTGAAAACTGTGAAGGACATGTTTGAAATAAAATATTTAATACTATACTAATAATTTTTTCTGAAAGATAACTTGTATATTATATAGGCTATCTTATTTAAAAATGTGTTGGATTCACATGTGTTTGTTGTATTCTTGTAAATAAATTAATTAAATTGGTAGTGGTTGTACTGTGCAATAACTTAGTTAAGAGTTTAGATGCCAGAATCATCACCTAAATTATGGTTGGGAACTAAATGATTGCTGTTTCTACTAGGAGATTTGGATAAGTGGAGATACTTTCGAGATTTTTAATATTTCATTTATAGATAATGTCAAAAAGGATCTTTACTTCTAAATCCTTTCTATTTTTTTTAAAAAAATTTTTTGATTTGAATTTGGATTTTTCTTTTGATTTGTGAGATTTATCTCGAATTTTTATAATATTTTAATTAATTTATAATATTTTATTTTTTTAAGTGAGCTTTTAGGCTATCATTTGAATAAGGGTTGGCCTTCAAAAAATAGGGATAACATGGGCTTGGCCCACCTGTTTTCAATTCTATTTAATTTCATAAGAATATGTATTATTTTTAATTTTGATTACCAATGTACCTTATATTTTATAATAAGTAAGAGATAATTTTACATAAAAATCTAGATTTATAAATATAAGGGGTGAAATGAAATGGGAGGAAATTTTTTTCATATACTATATTGTTTATATTTTGAATAAAAAATAATTGAGAGACAATGCTTATACTTTAGATCGAAAAAAGTATATATATATATATATATATATAAAGCATGTGGATAAAAAAGATAGAGCAATCAAATTAACCAATCACAAATATGGCAATATTGTCATACTTTTCTAGTCACATCTATAAATTACTTTTAACATATTTCACTAGAAATAAGAAGAATTTTAAAATTTCAACATATTTCATAAGTTTCTTACTTTATCAACATGAAATATACATATTTTAATTTTAATGATATACTTTATTTCACCAATGTTTAATAAAGGTTAAGAAAAACTTATGATGAAAAAATTGATGACATAATTTATAAGTAGAGCTATAAAACTCCTCTTTGTAGCATGAGAAAGTAATGTAATATGATCACTTTGTCATCCGCGTGGTAATTCTAGCCTCCCAAATTTATCAAACAAAAACAAGTGTTGATGTTCTTCTGATTGACTGTACCAACCTAATAATTTTAAATATGATTAGATTATAGTCTCTTGTATGATTTTACCGTGACCTTATAACTAAAAAAAAAAAAACAGGTGTCAATGCGCGTGTAGTAATTTATGCACAGTGAACGAAACCGCCTGATCTAACTCCTGGCATGTCTTTTAAATTGACACAAGCACAGTCACATGTGCACGTTTGATCATTCCTCACTTCGTATTATATCAAAAGGCGAGTGATAATTGAGTTTTCTGCTCTCTTTAGTTTTGCCCGAGGTTTCCTGTACTGTTACATTTCATTATTTTGAATGAAGTTTAGTTTTTTATTCGAACAATCACACGTGCGTGTGGAAATGGAGGCACTCTAACCACACACTTAACACACACGATGCAGGAACTGTCACTTGTGCCCTTCCATTTTTAACTAAAATTCTTTTACCTTTTCCCCTACGTGTGTGAATATACGGATGGGAATCAAGTCGCTCCTCTTTGCTATGAATTAAGAAGCTGTTCATCCATCTGAATCCCAGCAACCTTCTATACATTATCTAAACATTTGGCCCCCAGGTATGATCTCAAAATACTCCCCAAAGCCCCACATTTCCACGCCCACCCCTCCTATTACATTGGCACGTTGTTTGCTTTTTAATAAACGCATACCATAAACGGATTGTACATATTAAAGTTGAGTTTGGATTTGGTCTAGTGAGTGTTTCAGTTACAACCATTAAATTTTATCAATATTAAAAAATTATAAAGACATATTTCTTTCAACAAATTTAAAATAAGCAATATGATCAGAAGTCATAATACTTTTTATTTATGCTGTCTTTTTCAAAAATTTAAAATTTGATATCTTTGATTGTCATATGATAGAATATTTGACATCCATTTGATTAAACTAAACTATTGTTATTGTGCTATATGAGACATTCATTTAGTAAGTATATTTAAATTATTTATGAGATTAAAACCTATTAAAATTAGGCGTCTCGCATTTAAAAAGTAAAAACCTCACTGACGAAGTTTAAAGCACTACTGGGTCGAGTTTTCTGATTTGGGCCAGAATGGACGAGGTCAAATCAAAAGCACCCATTCACCCAATTTGCCCACTTAAAAGTTACTCCCTCTCTATATTCAGTGTGCGTTTGGGTAACTCTCTAATCTAAGATAGGAGGCTCAAACTTAAGTTAAGATGTAAACAGCTTAAAAAATTTTGTTTGGATAGGAAAAAATTTTCAACTGAAGTTAGAGTCAAAATGAGCTTTTTCTCAAAGCTATCTTCTGTGGTTTATGCATTTAGCGCCTGCGTTCATCCGTTAAAAGCATTTAATGCTTTTTAAAAGCATAGAACTGCCTAATCTTTATCACCCTTCCACCCTTTGCCTTTTGGCTTTGTGTTCCACTTATCGTCTGTTCATGCATGCATATGAAATTTGAAATAATCTTTACCTGTTTGTCTATACTTATAAATTTAATATATTATTTCATCAAAAAAAAATATAATATATTATAAAATTCATAGAAAATTTAGATCATGTGTTATATTGATTAATTAATTACATTACCCAGTGATCAATAACCTGAACATAGGACAACCAGGGTAGGTGTTACCTTGAGCAAGATTCATTGAACACAAAAAAAGGGGAATAACTGAGGCTTGCCATCACTAAATAATGATATTTCTAAATTTTTTGGCCGTAAATGATATTTTTAATTAAAAAATATGTTTTGCATTTTATAATTTACTCCCTTGTGCCTTTTCTATGAGAACTTTTTTAACTGGATAAGGCGGATTAAGGCATATAGCTAAAATTAGTTAAAAGTTTTTATTTTGATGAAAATTATTGCAACATTTCAAGAATATAAACTCATATCAAAAGGCATTTGTGAAACCATGTAATAACAATTTACTCAATTTATATATAAACTAGAAGTTGAAATTGTTTGTACAACAATGACAATACATAATTTTATCAGAAAAAATTCAATCACTGATAAATAATTCATACAAGCTAAAAATAAAAGTGTAAATGTTCATGAACAAGATATTGATATTGTGAGGCATCCTTGTCAAATCTATTTGGATCTTCAAGGCGGATGTAATATGTTCATGATATAATTAAAAATTAACTTATAAATCATATCAATTAAGATTGTAGGTTTTCATAATTGAATATTTAAAGTTTTTTACTTATTAGATATTATTTTAAGTTTAATATTTTTTACTTATTAATTAGTTAAAAAACATATACAAAAAAAATTTAGATTTATTTTTACTATTAAACATCTCAATTGATTTTTGAATTAAATTATTAAAATAAATTTTAATTTATTTAATTATTTTTTTAAAAAATATTTAAATATAAATTACGTCACATTCATAATTTTTTTACTTTAATTTATTAATCTCAATTAAATTTTAACCTAATTGTACATTTTTTAATCCAAATAAACGTTCAATAATGAAAAGAATGACGTCCCATCCTGTTCTATGATATCGAGCCGAATATTCTGAAGCTCGAACCAAATTAAGGAGGGAATTCCAAACCGAATCAAATAGGCGAATATTATATTCCACGTCCTGTGCATTTTACGCGTGGCCTTGAGATATGCCTTGCAGGCATCGACTGGCCTATCGAATTCAGCCACATGTACAACGTGTAATTGCATTTACTTTACATGGAAGTTTGATTCATAGGCAGTGAAGGATCCAGAGCACCACTCATGGGGGGCCAAAGTGAAAAAATTCACGGAGTGGAGGGGCCAAAATTAAATTTTTTATTTTTTCATGGAAAAGTATGAAAATTTATCAAAAAATTTTTCACATGGCGGTAAGCCCCCTAGATCCGTCCCTGTTCATAGAGGAATACTAGATTCATAGCTTGGTGCATATGCCTGACGAGTCAAGATCGGATTCGGCTGCTGGAAAAAGCGTGTAGACATATTCGGGTGTGCGCAGCTGCATCTGAAGAAAGATAAGATGAAAGCAGAGACTGTAACTCTGGTGCTGGTGAACCTTGCCGGGATCATGGAGAGAGCCGACGAATCATTGCTTCCTGGTGTCTACAAGGAAGTGGGCGCAGCGCTTCACACCGACCCAACCGGACTGGGTTCCCTCACTCTATTCCGGTCCATTGTCCAGTCCTCTTGCTATCCCTTGGCTGCCTACCTTGCTTTGCGACACAATCGGGCACACGTCATAGCCCTCGGCGCTTTTCTATGGGCTGCTGCTACTTTCCTCGTTGCCTTCTCCTCCACTTTCTTTCAGGTATTAAACCCATATCCACTTACTTCCATCCCTTTTCTTCCTCTGCTTTCCCGCAACACGGTTTAGGATTTCCATTATTAGGCTATCACTAGACTGCGCGCTTGTAGTCATGGAGATCGATTCGAGCTTAAATTGATCTTTTGAAATTGGTATGGCTGATAGTTAATATTAGGGTTTTGGCCTCAATTCCTTTCTCTCTTTCTTTTTAATACTATGACGACCTTACTGTTAATATCTGTGTTTTTCTTGCTTTTCTAATTCATCACTCTGCCGTTAAAACCGCGACTGAAAAATGACTTATTGAAATAGGAAGACTTAATACGGTATCAAAATTATTTTCCCCCAACACAGTGATATGCAAAGCCTTTGTTGCCATATTTTCGTTATTCAAAACAACGTGCTACTGGGAGTTAGTAGGAGAATGGCAGGATCCACATTTTGACACCCCTTGAATATAAAAAACCAACATTCATGATGTTTTATTGGTCTGCGCCTATACAAACCTGGCATTTGTTTATCAAGGAGGGCCAATAACTTGTGTGTATTCAGTGAATTCCACTGAAGCAACTCAAATGAGGTGCAGGCGCTATAGCTTAAAAATAAAAGAAGAGATTTTTTCAACTGCCTACACTTAGGTCTTGAAACTAAGCTATTATATGATATGACAGGTCATATTTTGCTTGCTTTGGGATGTATTCGGGAGTTTCTTCAAGGTTGTGGCGATAGGCTGCTGTAAGGAGGAAAAGAGATTTTAAAACATTGAATAATGAATTGTATTTGACTTTTGAACTCTGTAATCTTTCGTGACTAAATTAGGTTACTCACATATTACAATCTTCGATAAACCCCCGCAAGACTGTAGAAGTCTGTTGACATTAAACATGAATAGATTTTAATCTTTCTGCGTAGTTTTTCGCGGCCATGTAATTAAAAATAAAAAATAGGTTACTCACAACTTGTTTTAAACTGCTAAGTACAGTACACACACATTTATAGGCACACAAGATGACCGTTTGGCATATACTGAACCAATCTAAATCTGTGGACATTCACATTCTTTAGAAGTAACTTAGACATTCAAATTGATTGAACATTGAAAAACCCAAAAGTTATGAACTCAGGCACTTAAACAATTTCAAATTATTAATATCAGTCTAGGCACTGGTCAAATTTAATACAAACTAATAGGGTTTCTACTTTCTAGTGGTAATTCAATGGTTTTCAAGACACTTGCTAAGAATTATCACCTGATTGTATTCACTTTGAAGTGAGTGCCATGCAGGTTGCTCTATCACGAGCATTAAATGGGATTGGCCTAGCACTGGTTGCACCTGCAATACAATCCCTTGTTGCTGACTCAACTGATGATTGCAATCGTGGCATGGCTTTTGGATGGCTTCAACTCACAAGCAATCTTGGTTCTATTGTTGGCGGCCTCTTCTCTGTGTTAATAGCCCCTATTACATTCATGGGTATCCCTGGTTGGAGAGTTTCCTTCCATATTGTTGGTCTAATAAGTGTTATAGTGGGTTCTCTAGTATACTGCTTTGCCAAAGACCCACATTTCTCAGGTTATAGTACAAGTGCTAACAACCAAATTCCAATCAGAACATTATGGACAGAAGTGAAAGAGTTAGCTCAAGAAGTCAAGTCAGTTTTGAAGATTTCGTCATTCCAGATTATTGTAGCACAGGGCATCACTGGCTCCTTCCCCTGGTCAGCATTGTCATTTGCACCTATGTGGCTTGAGCTTACTGGCTTCTCCCACGACAAAACAGCATTCCTCATAGCTTTGTTTGTGATTGGCAATTCTGTTGGAGGCTTGTTTGGGGGTAAAATGGGGGATATCCTTTCTACACGATTTCCAAATTCTGGGAGAATTATTCTGGCACAGATAAGTTCTGCATCAGCAATCCCCCTTACAGCAATACTATTGCTGGGTTTACCACGTGATCCATCAACAATAGTGCCACATGGGTTGCTCCTGATCATTGTAGGATTCTTCATCTCTTGGAATGCTCCTGCTACCAACAAGTAAAGTCTCCTTAGCTAACCTTTCCTTTCATTAAATCATTTATCCCAATAAAGAATCATTGTCCCTATTATTTTCATCTTGCACCCTGACCCCTGGAACTTCTTTAACACGTCCATCTTTCCTTAATGTCATACATTCACTGAAGTTTGAACTCATAAAGTATCAATAATGCATTAAGAATGGAAAATGACTGGTATGAAAACAATTGCCGCTCAAGATTTCCAAAGTCCACATTATTGTGAATCTGTCAACTATGCTCTCAAAGGAATTCCTATCACCTAATAATTTGGTCTTTAACATACTCGTTAATCAACTCCTATTCTTCTTGCAAGCAAATTTCTGTGTGCTCATGGCTGAAACATTAGAAGATTTGTCTTGTAGTAGTCTACAACTGAAAATCAAAACAAGGCTGGTCTTTTTTGATTTTGATAGGACTTTTAGAGATATATGGGAAAGCTAATTGATAAAGTTTATGGACAAAAGTCCAATATTTGCAGAGATTGTTCCTGAGAGAGCTCGAACAAGTGTGTATGCATTGGACCGGTCTTTTGAGTCGTTGCTGTCATCTTTTGCTCCACCTTCGGTTGGACTTTTGGCTCAGCATGTGTATGGATATAAACCAATTCCCCAGGGGTCTACTTTATCTGAAGAGATTTTAACGGACAGAAAGAATGCTGCATCATTGGCTAAGGCACTATATACTGCAATAGGTATTCCAATGGCAATCTGCTGTTTGATCTACTTATTCCTTTATGGAGCCTATCCAAGGGACAGGGAAAGAGCTCGGATGGTAGCTTTTATTGAATCAGAGATGCAGCAGGTGGAGTCAGATAGTTTAGGCAATAATAGAGATTTCCTCTCAAAAGCTCACTCTTCTAAGTCTGAAGAAATGTACGCTCATGATTACCATGGGGATGCCCTCGATGTTGATGATGAAGATAATGCTCTGCTGTACCGCGGCATTTGACTTCTCTAACTTAGGTGATTAGTTTTAGTTCATCGCTTTCTGCAATATCGTCTGCGGAAATTTTCAGAACTTCATGGGGTTGAACTTTTCCCATATGGATCAACCGCAGATTCCACTGTGAGTCGGTAATAAATTTGTACGTTAAGTTGAAGAGATAACCAGTGCAGTATAATTCAGCAGTGGTTGGAGTTTTTGAGACTATTTTTCATGATCGTCAAAGGCACAAACCAGGCATTTACCGAAGTCAGAGGGTATTTAATCAAGAGATCAAAACAGCAAGAGACTTGGGATGATCAAAGTTGTTAGTCTTTACTCTTTGGTGACGGAGCTGAAGTCATGATCCTGAGAACAGGAGATGAGATATCTTCTCACCCTTTCAGGAATTACATTGAAGAGGCTCGAATATTGATAGATGCGAGCAATGGGGTGCCCTTCAATTTCATGTTCAAGGAAGTGAACAAGTGTGCCATTGCAATGGCTATATGGAAGCATGATTTAGAGTAGCGTCATAGTTTTGTTTTTCTAATCAGGCGCCTGACTTTTGTTGAGTTTTGCAGTAGAGGTAGAGCAGGGATGAATTACCAACGACTTTCAATTGAGCTTTGTATGTTAATTGTTTGTATTAAAAAAAAAAATATGTACAGCACGACAAATACGCACAAGATACAGGTGAAGCATGACAACATTATTTAGCTTCACATCCCTTTTAATCATTATTACTACTATATGGTTGTTATTTTCTTTATTTCTTTTTTTTCTTTATTTCTTTTCTTCATTCTTTTGTTTTCTATTTCCCCCCATTTCTTGCGCTTGATATTTGATTTCTCCTTTCTTGCCCCGACGTGTGCATGGCTTCACAGCCTTCAGGAACACCTATAACTGTTCTTGAATAACTATATTGACATATTAATGAGGTTCACATTCTAGAATGCAGTTACTTTTGCTGTTGCTGGTTATATCATTTTAAATTAGCCATGTAATCTAGTGTTAGGGTTTATGAAATGATAGTAAAATTGATTGGGATGTCATTGAATACAAATCAGGTGATTTAGATAGAGACTATAAAAAGTATTCATGATCCAAAAATAGCTAACAAGCATAAAATTTAAAAAAAAAATTTAAAGAGAGAGACTACAAGTGGATGGTTTAGTTTTTTAGGTAAATGTGTTTTTTTGTTCCTAAATTATTTTTTTAGGAGCATCTAATGTCCAAAATTATTGGTCATAATATTTTTATCTTTGAGATAATTAAAATGTAGCATTTTATATCATAATGTTAAATACTTACAAAAGTTCGCTAGCCATTGCTTGATGGGCTCCATTTTTTGTAAATATTTAACCAACAAATGTTTGCAGGTATTCAACATTAGGTTAGAAAGTAACATGTTTTAATTACTATAGGAGCAAAAATTTTACAACAAATAGTCTAAAATATTGAGTATTTTTTAGAGAATAATTTAAAAGAAAAAATGTACCTTTATCCCCAACAAATGTTGATATTCGCTAATGTTAGTGGTGGTGATGAGTTCAATTTTTGTTTTGCGCACAAAAATTTACTTTATTGACTATGAAGATCTCTCTCTATTTTTTTTATAACTGACTCACAATCTCAAGACCTCTTGTGTAGTGAAAAAACAAAATCCAAGCGTTTTGTTTTGTTTTTGTTTTTTTCAAAAGCATTACGAATCAAATTTGGATAAAAATGTAGGTGTGCCTTTGTGTATAACTCTAGCAAAATATTCTCAACTAGAGAGCAACAGCCTATTTAGCTCAGTCGGTAGAGCGCAAGGCTCTTAACCCTATGGTCATAGGTTTGAGCCTCACAGTAGGCGTTTATGATACTGTTTTTATGATCTTCGATGGGTATGACTTTTTGATTAATTTAATATGAAAAATACAATATGTCATCTTCATGCTCTTGCTGACATCTTCCAAATTTTAAAACAAATGATTGAAATTGATGGGTTGTCACAACATAAAGTATAAACCCATTCTTGCTAAAAACGAGCTACTACCCTTTTAATGTGTAATGCCATTGATAACAACTATTTATGTTACTCTACTTGTGTCTGTCACTACTTACTGGCCCTACTAATTTCCTGCATCTATACATACAACAACATCGCATAGATACAACTCATTGAAAATGACTCTCTGTTTTCTCTCTTTTTTTTCTGTGCTCTGGTTTCCCGTGTCGTCGCAAACTTAAGACCCACTACAAGCTGCTTAAATAATAATTGATGCTCCCACTTAACACTGGTGCATACATTAAACTGTAGAGGGCTACTTCTCATATTCTCTTTTTTCTTTGTTTCAAATAGCCTAGTTGTTCACCCATCACATTATGAATGCCCGTAAAATTTCAGGACGTGAATTTAAATTTGGATCTCGGCCTAAATGATTGCGCACATTAAGCTCCTAGCCTCTTGGAGCTGCATGTTTGTCTTTAAAAATAGTAGCAACAATAAAAGAGTGTGTCATGCTGATAAAAGGCCTAATTTCAAAACTCAATCGCGTAATTAAAATTCAAGAGGATAAATGCTCACCAAATGGAATGGCCACTTTGTTATGATCACAAAATAGGGTTTTGCATTTTTGGAGTCATCATACTAATGTTCTAAGGGTTACTAGTTGATGCAGACATTGTGGCGAGTCGTTCAATTAATTTGGATGAAATAGATCAAGCAAGCATTAATTAAAAAAAGTGCTACTATAACTTATGAAAGCAGATTATAAGGTTGCTCACAAAACTATCCAAATCTAAAGTAACAACTTAACAAATTGATGATGAGATTAACAGTTGAATAAGAGGGGCAGATGGTGAAGGGAAACCTAATAGAAGGCAGGGTGGTGTGTGTGCTTTAGGTTAGGTTGCCATGCCTGTGTGGGGACATCCTCTGTATCTTTTTTCAATTTCTTCAACACTTTGGTTTTTGGGTCCACTCTCTCTCTGCATTTGTGAAATCTAAAACCTAATAATCATGAACGCCAAGCCTTGTAAGTTCTAACATTATGACTTCCTCATGATTGAAAATGATGTTAAGAATGCTCCATCATAGTTCTCCTAAAGCACTATGTGTCTATTCTGTTACCATTGTAGTGTTGTTTGAGAAACAGTAATTGGTTACGATGGTCCAATACTGTGTTGTGCTATTAGTAACATTTTTTTTCCTTTTCTCCCCTCCCACCTAAGAAATGTTGTTGGAGTGTTACTAGAGGCATTGTGTAAGTAGCAAGGTATGAAATGAAGCTCCTATCACCAGTGATGTCACTTACATATATAATATAAAGAGTCATGATAATGGGACATTAATCGCCTATAAAAATTAATATTTTTCATGAAATTTAATAAATGTAATTCATTTGTTGTTTATTCATTATTCACACAGAAAACTTTCTTATAAATGACTCAGTATACATAAATGTTTCAATCAATGATTGTCATTTGGTAATCAGGAGTTGAGGGATGAAATATCTTCTATTTTGAACATTCTTGATGTTGAACAACCAGGCAAATATCTTGGTTTACTTGTCATTTAGGGTAGGTCTAAATCAGCTTCTCTTGCTTTTGTTGAAAATAAGGTGGGGTTAAATGTTCAGGGTTGGAGATAGAGATTGTTGACCTTTTCAGGGAGGGAGGTTTTAATAAAAATTGTTGCTAATGCCATACCTATTTACCCTATGGCTTGCTTTTCCTTTCCTATTAAAACATGTAAAGAATTGGATAGGTGATCTTTGATTTTTTGTGGGACAGTGGTGAGGGTGGTAGGGGAAAAATTCATTGAAGGGGGTGGAGTTTGTTGACTAAACCTAATCTTGAGGGTGGTATGGGTTTTAAAGATTTTAAAGCTTTTAATATTGCTATGCTTGCTAAAACCTCATAGAGATTAGTTAAAAATCCTAATGAATTTTGGTGTAGAATTTTGAAAGGTATATACTTTCCTAAATGTGATTTGTTTGAAGCAAAGAGAGGGAGAAGACCTTTGTAATGGTAGCGAAGTATATTGGAAGACTGTGATATGTTAAAAAAAAATTTGTTTAAAAGATTTATGATGATGAAACAGCCAATTTATGGTCAGATGCTTGGATTCCAACCTTGCAAGGGATGAGATTGAAAGGAGATTGGGTTAGAGAGGAGATGAAAATTTTGAAAGTGGTCTCTTTGATACACCAGAAATGTTGAAAACTTGATTCAATTGTTAATTTGATTTCAGATGAAGAGAAGAATGAAATTCTAAAAATTAGAATTCCAGCTAGAATTAGTAAGGATAGTTTGATCTGGGCTTCTTATTGCAATGTGGCTTATTCTGTCAAATACGGTTATCATATGGCAAAAGTTAAAATTGACTTAAAGAAGGAAGCTAATCACAATGATTCTTCTTGATCTCCATGTCAATTGTGGAAGGTTGTTTGGAATCTTAAAGTTTCCCTAAAGATTATACATTTTATTTGGAGAGTGTTAAATGATACTTTGACTACTAAAAAAGCTATTTTCTGTAGGAAATGTGCAGGTGTTTCTATTTGCCCTATATGTTTCAATAAAGATGAATCTTTGGAGCATCTTTTCTTTGGCCATTCTTGGGTTAGAGTGAGTTGGTTTGGTTGTAGTTTGGAATTTATGTTGTCTTTTCATGGTGTTAATAATGTGATAGCCTGGTTTATGGAATTATTTTGTGAAAATAATAATATTGGTGCTAGGGAGAAAGCTTTAATTGCTTGTATATGCTGGGAAAATTGGAAAGGCAAATGTGCTCAAGCTTTCAATAATGATAGAATCGATCCTAGAAGATGAGTGTAGAAGCTTAAAGATTCACAAGAAGCAAAAGAAATAGTGTAAGGAGAATGTACAAATTAATAGAACGAGGTGTTGGCAAAAACCTTTAGTTGGTGAAGTTAAAATAAATATTGATGGTTTTTTCATTAATTCCTTAAATTGTTTCGGCATAGGAATTGTTTGTAGGGATAGTTTTAGACTTTTTTTGGGTGGTCTTGGCTAGGATGTGGCTGGTAATTCTTCTCTTATGGTTGAGTTTATAATTGTTTTGGAAGGTGTAAAGGAAGCTCGTAGATTTGTAGGCAAAAATGTGGTTATTTAGTTGGATTGTGAAGTGCTTTTTAAAATGCTCACAAGTTTGTTAAATTTGGATTATAACTGGCATTATTCTGAGTTTGTGCAAGATATATTATCTATCAAAGAATCATGCAAGGATGTTTAGTTATCTTTGGTAGCTCGTAAGGTAATAGGTAATGAAGTTGTTAATTTTTTTAGCAATGATTGGTTCTAGGAAGATGTGTTTGGTTGGATGGCTTGATAAAACTTCATCTTCCTTATCTCTCTTTGTGCTTGCTGAGTTAATGATTGATAATTTTTTTGTTTCTTTTAATTCTGGTACACAATGGAACAAAAAAAGCATTGATCAAGTTGCCATATTTTACTTTATTTTTGTTTTGTTGTTTTTGCACTGTTTTCCTTTTTTTGTGAGTTGTGTGTCACGTTGTATTATAAATTTTTTTTAGTGTTTTTTTTTTAACTTTGACTATTAATAGTTATAATATTTTTTGGTTATTAATAAAATTAATTTTTTTGGCAAAAAAAATCAATGATTGTCATTTATATTAAATAAATAGATTTTTTTGGCCAAATATTAGATAAATAGATTAGGTGGACCCAGTGCACTGTATAGGATTTAAGGATTTAAAAAATTAGTTGCATTATTTATCATCGAGTTAGATGATAGTTAAACAATCAATACACCATATCAAAAATCATTATGCTCGTGTACCAAAAAGAAAAAAGCTCGGACGTCATAAATAGTGAGTCTTATTTTAAACTTTCATACAACTGCACGCAACAGTTCCACTTATATAATTATCTTGTATCTGTTATTGTTGAGATAGATTTATTGACTCTAGTTTTTTTTTTTTTAAAAAATCGAGTAATTCTTACTTAAATAATTTGTTGATACAAACTCACGTGATATTTTAAATTGAAAGGGAACGGTTTTTGGTGTATGCAAATGTGAATAAATAAATATTGAATTGTGTGGTTATAAACTTTTTAAAAAATATTTCAACTTATAATCGATAAATAATATTTTAATTATTAATTTTAGATTGATATATAAGTAAAAATAAAACATGTAAAATTAAATTAAACAGTCGTTGATATGAAAAGAGAATAATACTCCCTCCGGTCCTATTTATAAGTCATTTCTACCAACCTCATCAATACCAATACAATAAAAGTACAAGGAATAAAAGTAAGTAAAATTCCAAACATGCCCCTATATAACAAATCTAAAAAGTAATGTTCTGTTACTTTTTCTCTCTCATAAAGGGTAATTTTGGAAATACCTCTCAAATATTACCTAAAAAGACGCACCGTGACTTATAAATGAGACCAAATACACCTTCTAAAATTGGACTTATAAATGGGACCGGAGGGAGTATGTCATTTGATTTTTTTTCCAATTTTTGAGCGGATGGCTTGGTTGGTATTTGAATAAATAACACCCTTTTCGAGGAAAAAAAATTAAGATTAAAAAAAATTCGAGGAAGAAGAAGTCACAAGTCACACGCAATTAGTAAAGGAGGTTTGGACTTTGCATATCTCACCGGAGACGTTGCGGAGGATTTTCATTTTTTAAAATATGATCAAAATAACCGAAAGGACAAGAGTGCCCTTTCAAAAACTGCAGCCACAATTAACTCCGCTCCGCTGTGTACTGTACACCATGAATACTTGAATACACACTTTAACACGATGCAAAATCTATAATGAGTAGCACCATCATCAAGTGATAAATAATATTCCCTCCAACCTAAATTATAAAATATTTTTAAGTAAAATTTTATATATTAATAAATTTTATTAAATATATTTAACAGCTTTATTTTTTTAAAATAAAAATATTAACTTTAAAAAATACCCTTCACTTAATAATCTTAAATCTATATCTAGTTAGTATTAAATATAGAGAGAAATAATAATATTAAAATAAGTCTATTTAATAAAATTTTAATCTTCTTAAAGTATTTTATATTTTAGGATGATAATTTTTTTAAAATATCTTATAATTTAAGAAGAAGGGACGATCATTTATCCAATAAAGTGTATAAAAATATAATTTTGTTTTTTAAATTGTTTGCTAAGGATGGACAACAGCATCCAGTTGCCTAAAAAAGAAAGAAGGAAAGGAGAGAAACAAAAGCCTTTTAGGAGCATGTTGGGGGGAAGATAATAATTTCACCCAACGCCCATTCGCTTCACGTGAAGTCCTGGGCGCTTTCTTTTTCTCCCTTTTGTTTGTGTTCCACCACTGTTTGATTCACTCCCTCAGAACAAGAATGGCACAATTCATGAATCATGCTTCAGCTCCATCCTCACTCTTTGGAGAAAGAATCTTCATTCCATGACATTTCCCGAACTCTCAAATTGCTTGTCCACCTTCTTCGCTTTTGTCACATGACCTCTACGAGATTCCAATGTGCTCTTACTAATTAAAGCTACATTATTAAATAAATATCTATGGAACCACGCAAATACCTCAAATATATAATCTAATCTAATTTATACATAAACCCCGGGGGCAAGGATGTAATTAAATGTGCTGGAGTCCATGTTTAACAATTCACATGTGGCAGAGGCACTTGCCAGCTGGTCATTTTAAAGCACTATATTTGCGTGATATGGAATTTAAATCATTGATCCTCTCAGTTGCTGGCTAACAAAGTGGGAACGTTTCTTGATTTTATATATATATATATATATATATGCATAAATCAGGAGCAATTTCAAAATTTAAATACACGAGAGAAACGAAAAGCAAAAAAGAGGAACGGTCATATTTTAAATATAAATGATAAGAGAGACGTGGTTGGTGGGAGCTTCGGTTTGTTCTATAAAAAAGAGGAAGGAAGAGTAGCTTCTACTTCTACTTCTACTGCACTCTCTACTCTCTCATTCCTTCCAATCCACTCCCTCTCGTTCAACCCAAAGCAACAAAAAAGCAAACTCTTCAAAAATAGCAAAAAAGTAAAGTAAAGCAAGAATCTTCGAGATCGGAAGGTCATCGTCGTCATTTCTCGCTTCCCCTCCTCTGGGCGTCTTGGTTTAGATAAGACTCTCACACGCCCAGAAGCCGGGCGACTCTCTCTTCTTATTCCTCTCATTTTTTCATTATTATGCTATTTTGTTTCAATTCCCTTCAAACATCACAGGCTTGGGCCTCAACAGACTGAAGACGCCGGAGTGAAGGGCAATCACTAATCTGCATTGGTCCTTTCCTTTGCTGTATCTTTGCTTGTCCGATTGTTGTTATCTTCAGAGTTTTCTCCCTTTTCGCCGGTGTTTGACAATAACAATGGAGAGGACCACTCCGGTGAGGAAGCCTCACAGTTCCACGGCAGATCTGCTTACTTGGTCCGAAACCCCGCCTTCTGACTCTCCGGCTCCCGGTTCCGCAGCTCGTTCTCACCAGGTGCCCGTTTTTCTCGTCTTACTCCGAAATCTGAATCTACTCTCTCTATTCATCACTGCGCTATTTTGCGCCTGTTCTTTACTTTCCCTTTTTGACTCATTATGGAGAGCTTTTATCATCTGGGCAATTGAGTAATTTTTTTTTTTTTTGGAATTTTGTCTGCCTGGTGTTGGGGATGCGATGTTAGCCGTCGGATGGGATCCGCAAGGTGGTGTTTGGAGGTCAGGTGACGGATGAAGAGGTGGAGAGCTTAAATAAACGGTGATATCTGCTTCTCCCTTCATATCTCATCTACTGTAAAATTTTACCTTTACTCTTGATTTTCAACTTTCTGGGTTCTGGCTATATATTCTCCCTTTTAAAAACTCCGACATCTTACCATGTACCTTGTGTTTGTTGAATTGACTATTTCGTTATGCAGCTGCAGAATTTCTTTTCCAGTTTGCTTCTATTCTATTGCCTGAAAAAGCTGTCTTTCTCATTCAATGTCCGGAGGGGTCAAATGGGCTGTATTAGTTGTTGGACTTGGATGAGTGGATCAAATGTTAAACCATCATCCTTCTTTAGTCTTCCCGCATATTCATCGGAATTCTATCTTTCAGCCTTTCTCATTCCCCTAAAATCATATTGCTTTAATCAATTTGAATGCTTGCAGATTTCACTTTTCACAAATTAAATGTCAAAATAAGATAGTACCGTCAACTGTTCGCCATTTTAAAGAACAGTGTAATGGCATTCGACAGATGTTGTGTTGTAGGTGATGCGAAAATAATTTGCTAAAGGAAGTTCAGAATGTTGCTCCAGAGTAATGTGATCAAAGTCAACGCAAACTGTATCTTGATTACCAGTAATGTTTGCTTATATTTGCAATAAACTGCAATGAGCTCTTAAATAACACAAGCAGATGATGTGATATGAAGTCAATATTTGTAATAGTTGTAAGATTTTTAGAACAGTTGAGATTTTTCAGTGTTTTATACAGCCACAAGCACCAGTTTTGAGAAATATCTCCCAAACTGCTTCTCAAAGCTTTTCTTGTGACTTTTATAAAAAATGTAGACCAAAGGCCATATCTTTCTCAAATGGGGATTTGTGTGGTTCGTATCAATGTTTATTTTTTTATTTTTACTTTTAGCGTGACGTGCTGCGTCTATATTTCCTTGACAGCAGCGCAACATGTTATTCTAAATGAGTAGCATGATGCAAGTGTGATATCAAATTTTACATCAGATAATATAATTATAATATCACGAATAAAAAATTAATTATTACAATCGTTTCTGTATAGTTAAGCCAATTTCTTTTGTGCCTTCTCTTGTGATGGCATCTAAAATATTTTGGCTATGAAATTTCCAGGAAACCTTGTTCTGAGTACAAAATGAAGGAGATAACAGGCAGTGGAATCTTTGCAGCCAATGGCGAAAATGATGAATCTGAATCTGGCAGTGCCAATCCTCCTCCAAACAAAACAGGAGTGCGCATGTACCAGGTATTATTTATTTTTCCTCTATAGTATATTATTATGTGGATTCTTTTTTTTTTTATTATTATTATATGATCATATGGATTTATTTATCTAGCATGTAGAAGTCTGTTATTTTGTTATTCTTATTGTTTACTGTTGAAAATTTGTAGCAAACAATTGCTGGAATCAGTCATATCTCCTTTAGTGAGGAGGAGAGTATTTCTCCCAAAAAGCCCATTACCTTGCCTGAGGTGGCCAAGCAGCGCGAGCTAAGTGGAACTCTGGAAAGTGAAGACGCGAAATTGAAGAAGCAGCTTTCTGATTCAAAGTTCAAAGAGCTCACTGGTCACGACATATTTGCTCCCCCTCCAGAAATTAAACCCCGACCCGTAACTCCTCGCATACTTGAGCTGAGAGGGAGCATCAACATGGGAGAATCTTCCCCCCAACAGGTATGCCTCACAATAAGTTGCTAGCTTGAAATTTGCATGTAAATGCTTTCCGAATTTTGATCTCTCCGTTTATAATGTTAAGAATGTTACGTATGTTTGTAATTATCACAAATCTCGAGACAAGCAAGCAAACTGAAGTTGACTCAGGTTTTGCTGCTGTAATTGTACACAATAACAATTAGAAATCTAGCACAACTTATGCGTGGCTGTGAAATCATAAGCTGTATCGTCCATCCATAGGGGGACGCCGTTTATAGCCAGTTTATATATAATATTCACGCGTTTACAGGTCGAGGGAGATGAGGGGACCAAGTCTAGTGAGGAACCAGTGAAAACAGCGAAAAAGATATATAACCAGAAATTTGCTGAGCTCTCAGGGAATGACATATTCAAGGGTGATGCGCCACCATCTTCTGCGGAGAAACCGCTTAGTGTTGCTAAACAGAGAGAGATGAGCGGCAGTAACATTTTTGCTGATGGGAAGGTAGAATCTAGAGACTACCTAGGAGGCGTGCGGAAGCCACCGGGCGGCGAGAGCAGCATTGCACTGGTATAACGCAGTAGGTCTAACTCAGTTATTTGTACACCGTCTGGTTTTGTTTAATAGTGGGGATGTGTTATGATTATATTATTTGACCGTGTCCTGGGTTTCGGGAAGTCATGTCTTAGGTTTCTTAACGTGTTGACCTAAAAGGACCAGCTACTAATTCTTGGGTGAATGTCCATAATCTTATGTTGTCGACTCCTCGGTGTCTGCTTTCAATGAAGTGATTTGGGTTGTGTTCCTGCTTTTAGCAAGTGATTACTTGCGTTGCGTTGTATCATCACTTTCCACCCTGGGATGCTCCAGAAACCTCGGAGCGTCGAAGGTAACGGGGGCTCAGACTGCCTTGCAAGCCTTTCACCTGTTACGGTTGGGCCAACCACCAACAGGAATCTGAGTGTTTTGAGGGATGGAGGGTATTGAAGGGAGGGCCCATGTCAAAAGCTGTCTAATTTGATTTGCGGCCTTTGGCGTGTTTGTTATCCGAAATATTATCTCGCCCATGTGGTGTGGTATTGCACTTCGACATTATTTGTACTGCTAGTCTGGGCTACTATAGCGTTCGAAGGGGCGCATATTAGTCAATAGGCCGGAAGTAACCTCCGAATTTTTTAACTATTTTTAAATTTAAATTTTAATTTTAATTTTAACTTGTATTTAAGCATGTGGGTGGATTGACCTTTTACCCCTCTCTAATTTCAGATTTTTTAAATCAGGTCCCTATGTCCGCGTGTGATATTTTATATTAAATATGAACGATTAGAATAGTGAGATGATATATAATTGATGGCATTGATATATTTTAACGGGAAGTAAATGTTTGTTGGCGCGGATCAAATAAATAATTCCGAGATTTCTGAAAATTTAATTAATGATGACGATATGAATGAAATTAGGCAGGTTGAAATGGATTTAATCAAGTTTTAGATTTAAATCGTGATTGTGGGGTCATGGCGGTCGGCGGAAACCTATCAGAATAGATCCAAGTAATAAATCGCTCGGACTTAATTGGTTATCAGAGCCGCAGACAACTTGCAACTTACAAGGACGAGTGGGTCGCAGGCTCGAATGGTCCAACGATGGTTTTTTTTTTTTTTTTTCAATGATCCAACGATGTTGTCGGTAAGTTCATTAAATAATACTATTCTGACTGATAAATCATTCATAAATTCTATATCTATAATAAATTTAAAAATCTCGTTCCCTGAGTGGTGTATAATTTAATTTATTGGAAACTAGATGGTAGATATTCAAGACCACCCGATGAATAAGGATAAGCATGTTAGAAGGTAAAAGCAACTTTCAATTAATGATTAGAGGGGTGGAGGATAACATAACAAATTGGTGTCTTATCTTCTCCTGAAAGAGTTTGAATTTGAACAACAAATTAAATACAAAAATTGGAATGTGCAATGTTGGAATGCAAAACCCGTTGTGAAATTAAGTTGACCTTCATTTTATATATACTGACATCCTCCAGGTCGGACCCGGTCTCCTGCCCATCGCTCACTCGCCATTATATCATTCTCGTCCTTTTCAAAGACCAAAATGAATGGAATGATAAGGCATTAAACCAACACGTGGTCCCCCTTTTCCTCACCGTTTTTTTAATCAAGTCCTTCATTTCATCCGACCGCCTCATCTGTAGTATTCAAGTTTCCCTTGCTACATATATTTACGATCTCAAAGTTTCCCTTGCTGCATATAGTAGTATGATTCAGCCATGTGCGTGTGTTATTTATTAACCCAACTCGGCAATTCTTTTGTTCCTACCCCCTTTAGAATTCGCAGGTTGTTATTCCCGATCAACTCTAGTTAATTAAATTCGATTCTCATCAATTCAATATGCCGACCCCTTCAACGATGCTCGGGATATTTTCCCACCCTCCCCTTTCCTTCCAAGTCGTTTATTTTTTAAATCTGCTCAAGCTCGTTTCATCATATATTTTGTCTTATCCTTCAAGTCAATGCTGTGCAATTTACATTCTTCCATCAATTTATCGTCTTTCAAAGGCTGCCCTCATTGTACGTTAGAAAATCGAACTAAAATAAGTACACAGGAATTCAAAGCTGCAAAATCGAGAGTCCAGCTAATACGCAGACCAAGTCCTTGGCAGAAATCTTCTTCATTTATTTGTTAGCCGGATACTCAATTTTATGTTTTTTTTTTTAAATTGCATTAACCATGTGTATCTTTTGCTTGTCCTTTATATAGAGAGAGAGACATACACACAGTTGTCCTTTATATAATCTCGCGAGGATAGCCAGTTAATTTGACTCCCAATTTTTATCTCAAGTCGTTAGAGGTTGGTTAATATAATCATTACCTCATACACTAAATAACAAACGAATTTAGTTCTAACTTTCAAAGACGAATTAGTAATTAGAATATGTCGCAGTCAGAGGAAACTTTCCAAACCATGCAATGATTTTATTAATAATATCAGTATGTAAGACAAGTCATTCCATCACTGACAGAAACCGGGAAACTTTATTTGGCCGTCATCTATTTAATGAAAAATAAAATAAAATTTTCCTGTGAAATAATAGTCTGTAATCTTATATATAAACACAGAAGAGTTATATATAAACGGAAATTGAGTTGCCAGTGGAGCCTGGTAGAGTTAGCGTCGTAATTAGAAACAGAGAAGTTCCAAAATGGCCGTCGGGGGCATGGCCGTCGAAACACCTGGCGTCGATGGCAGGATAACGCTCTCCGTCGTCATTACTTGCATCGTTGCCGCCTCCAGCGGACTCATTTTCGGATATGACATCGGGATTTCAGGTTCGAACCTCTCCTTTATGTATGCGAGATGTAATTTAGATTAGAAAACAAGGTAATTATGGTGGTGTTGATGTTGAAATTCAGGAGGGGTGACTACAATGCCGCCATTTCTGGAGAAATTCTTCCCAAAGATACTGAGGAAGATGATGAGCGCGGACATAAATATATACTGTGTGTACGACAGTCAGGTGCTAACGTTATTCACGTCTTCGCTCTACCTGGCCGGGCTAGCGTCTTCACTGGTAGCGAGCCGAGTGACGGCGGCATTTGGTCGGAGAAGCACCATGATCTTGGGTGGCTTCACTTTTCTTGTCGGCGGCGCCCTGAATGCAGGTTCTGAAAACATTGCCATGCTCATCTTGGGTCGCATCTTCCTGGGTATTGGTGTTGGCTTCACTAATCAGGTAACATACGCTCCTCCTGCCCTTTAACTGAATGACCTGTTAACTTGGGATTTTGATGCCACTCTCTTAATTAAGCCTCCATTGAAATATATAAACCATCCTATTACAGTAAAATGTTGTTAATGAAGACGTTGCAATTTTTTTCTTAAAATAATAGATGTCTTTAATCACAACTCACTCCCTCCTTAATAGCATCAGATCACGATCTGGTAGTTGATATATGTTTCTTAATTGAGGGGTCCAAATTCATTAATTAGTGATCAGCCAGACAGCCACTTGTATATTTTTCGAGTGCGAAATTAAGTAGCTATACATGGTGATTGAGTTATTCTTTTGTATTTGTAATTTCTAGCAAAATTTATGAGCAAAAGTAAACATTTTAAAATATAAATATATAGTAATATATTTGTTTTAAACATTATTATATCATGCGGATGAACTTGACTTTTTAAATTTCAAAGAATCTAATCATAATTTTCATTTAATATTTTATCTTCTTTTTCATTCATGAATCCAAGTTATTAATAGGAGGAGCATATGTAATAAATGCGCCAAGGTAATTCATTAAAAATAGGAACGCATGGCTCATCTCAAGATCTTTTACGCATGTATATATTATATCCTCTTGGTTTTAATTTATAACATAATTTTGGAGTGCCCTAAAATGTAAAATAATTTAATAAAAATAATATTTTATTAAATATATATTTTCAATATTATACCATTCTCTCCTCTTTATATTCAATCTCTTTAAACTTATTATATAAAAATTTTTTGTAAAAATTTATATTTTTATTTTAGAAAAATAAAATCATAAAGTGTATTATAAAAGAAAAATTGCTGTAGACCGAGACGGACGGACGGACGGAGAAAGTACTTCTCAATTTATACCTATGATATTGAATCAGGTAACGCCAAATTGTAAAGATATTTATAATTATAATTCATTCAATAATCTGTTGATTATTAATAAGAATAAAAAGAGTAAAAAGAGTTCCGCGATGGATGGAACAGGCCACTCCGGTATATTTGTCGGAGGTGGCGCCGGCCAAGTGGCGAGGGGCTTTTAACGCGGGGTTCCAATTCTTCTTGAGTCTGGGGGTGGTGGCGGCCGGCTGCATTAACTTTGCGACGTCCAAGCGCACTTGGGGCTGGCGACTTTCCCTTGGGCTCGCCATAGTGCCCGCCGCCGTCATGGCCCTCGGCGCCTTCTTCATATCAGACTCTCCCAGCAGCTTAGTTGAACGAAACAAGATAGACCAGGCCAGAAAAGCACTGCTCCGAGTTAGAGGCTCCGATACGGATGTTGAACCTGAGTTACAAGAACTCGTCAAGTGGTCCGAAGCTTCAAAAGTCATCAAGCAAGAGCCTTTTCTCTCCATTCTGCAGAGGCAGTATCGACCTCACCTGGTGATGGCCATTGCCATCCCCTTTTTCCAGCAGCTCACTGGCATCAACATCGTCGCATTCTATGCGCCTAACCTCTTCCAGTCTGTGGGTTTCGGAAATGATGCCGCTTTACTTTCCGCCATTATATTGGGAGTCGTCAACCTCGTCTCTGTCCTCGTCTCCACCGCCATTGTAGATCGGTTTGGTCGGCGAGTCCTGTTCATAGCAGGCGGCATTCAGATGTTTCTCTTTCAGGTACTTATGTGTTTATTTATAATTATTTTCTCATTCGCTCTACCATTTCACTAATTAGCATGACCTCGCACTGTGAAGATTGCGGTGGCCATTGTGCTGGCAAAAACGACTGGCACGCACGGGGCAGAGGAATTATCAAAGGGGAGCGCTATATTGGTGCTGGTGTTTCTGTGCCTGTACGCTATTGGTTTCGGCTGGTCCTGGGGACCTTTGACGTGGCTCATCCCCAGTGAAATATTCCCCTTACGGATAAGAACAACTGGGCAGAGCATAAGCATTGCCATCAACTTCTTGACCGTATTTATTTTGTCACAGACGTTCTTGACCATGCTGTGCCACTTCAAGTTCGGTGTTTTCTTATTCTACGGGGGTTGGATTTTCGTAATGACCGTCTTTATTATATTTTTCTTGCCCGAGACCAAAGGAATCCCTTTGGATTCCATGTATACAGTATGGGAGAATCACTGGTACTGGCGCCGCTTCGTTCCCGCCTCAGAAAGTAAGCCAACACCATAATATTGGTCACCATCTACATATAACGCCTTAGGTCTTGTGTTTATTTTTCATGTAATGTTACCATTAGATTTCTCTCTTCTTGTTTTGTGGCTCAGGTATTTATTTGTCTACAAGTTTTTACCTTAATAAACGTTATTTGTTTGGCACCAGAAATGAACTAGACATGTTGGTTTGTTGCCCAGAGGTGTATGCACTATGCAACCATGCTTATGTACACATACTAATTTGGGTTTGCAGTAATTAAAAAAAAAATCGGACTTACTGTTACTTCTATTTAATTAATCAATGAAATGTAATCGTGATTGACAAAACAACTTCCTAGATTCTCTTGTTCATCAGGAAAATCATTCAATGAGAACCATTCCGACCATTGATGTAGTAAAAAAAAAAAAAAATTCACCTACAAACTGAAGATAAAAGCGTCTGTGCATGTCTGAATTGAAGAAAATAAAGTAATTAACCATCAACCGTTTTTTTGGGGGTGTCACTATGCAAGGGCTATTTGGTTTGCATCAGGATCAACGAGATAGAGGAGAAGGATTTCAGAATATGGCTCATGAATTGATTCAAGGATCTAGATAAGCAATATGGAGAGAAAGATCGGAGGAGGAATTTGGTGATGGCTACTACAAATATAATATGGAAAGCTAGACACCAAATCAATACATTAGACCCCATGCATGGCAGCAATATCCAAGATATCAAATTTTAGATCTCGCCTCATAGATAATGAAGATTTTATATATATATATATGTATATATATGCTCCATGCATAAAAATTGTCAGGCTACATTACGCGAATATATTACAGATTCTCCCTTTCTCTACCTGCTTCCTCTAGTCTCTCCTTTGGAAAATTAAATACTGATATGTACAGGTTTTCACGGCGAGGTCCTAAGCTGAATATCAAGATATGTATGTGCAAATTAAAGTATTGTATTTATAATTTATAAATGTGAGTTAGAAAAATGAAAGGCACGCTCTGTCTGTTTGTCCTATAACGATACAGAGACCCTCCTAGAAGTCACTGATTTTGACCGGGTGAAAGGACCGAAGGATGCATATTATAGTTGTGCAGGAGTACGCCTGCGGAATTAGTTTGATCACTTTAATTCCATCACAGTGGCATGAATGAAACCCACAATTAAAGCACCAAGGGTCCTCCTCCTTCACTTCACAATAACTACTAAAATCTACACCACCAACCGGAGAGTGAATTCCTGCCCATCAACTCATGAACCTTGCCAGCCAAGCAATTCTGCACTCAAAATGAAAATGATGGGACCCTCCTTGCTCCTGTTCATTCATGACTATGAGCAAAATAGAAACCTATTCAGCGTTTATTCTTCATCAATCCAGTCTTTCTTTTCACTCTTTCATTGTTCCTGTTGATCTTCAAAATCCTGGTCCCTTTCTACTACGTACACATACTCTTATATATGTCATGATACCATGTTCTTTATATTACACGTCCTCGCTGGTTCCCTGGGGAAAGAAAACAAATCACGTACATATACACTTGATATTTAATTTTTTTATCCAACTGAATTGTTAAACAAATTGACATTTGATTTCTATATGATGTATGAGTTTCTGTAACATTAATACACTGAGATGCTCAAAAAGAGGATAAAATTCTAATCTATGATCTCTTTAGGAGTTTACGTTCTATTGAACTGTAAAAGACCCTTTGACTAGCCCCTCAGCAGCCGCCATTGATCTTCAACTTCAAACTGTCTTTCAAACCGCACTCGACTTTGCTCATATTAAAATTTACCGGGATTTCCAGTTCATTGAGAAGCCAGGAATCCTGCGGAAATTAAAACCGATGTCGTTCTTCACCTAAAAATAAAAACTGATGTCTTTGTCGTCGTCGTCGTCATTAAAACTGATATGTTTTGGTTTAACGATTAGGGCCCTATGATTAAATCTTGATCCGGAGGGTCACATTGGCATGGAGAAATGCAATGGTGGGCCTCGCATTTAAACTCAAACGTGATCGGTTGGGATTATAATCAGATTGTTGGCTCAATTAATTTTTAATTGATTGATTTTATTGGAGCAAGCTATTTAATAATCATAAAACGATGGGAATATTCTTCCTCTTTCTAATTTTAATAACGAGCGCACTTTGCTCGCAGAAGGCACTGCAACAATTATAATGCCCAATAGATATGCGCTATTGAATAATTAATATGCATGGACACACAGACAAGTACACTGCTATGAAATAATCATCAGAATAAGTTCACAAGACAAGACATTCACCCGTAACAATCAGGGTTAATAGATCATTTTTAATTTCACATACTTATTCCCAAAAAAAAGAAAAAAAACAACTTCTAAATGGAATCGCTCAAGAATCAGTTTGTGCAGAAAGTGGTAGGAGGACGTAGAACACAAACACTGCAAAGGGGCATCAATAAACCATACCGTCTTGAGGATTGATTGCATATATGTGTGTTCAGATAAATCTGTGAAGAAAGGCTCTATCTAATAGCATAGTACATATGGTCTGCAAAGGGGTGTTAATGTAAGGCAAGGTAGAGCATTAGATACGATCTGACAGTTTAATGTGTGGGAAGTAATTTGAAACTGGCAGAAAGAGAGGGCGACATAAATGAAGGGAAGGCGAGGTGGGTTGAGGGCATTTAACGGAAGAAACCTGCTGGTGAGAGTGACGAAGAAAGATGACCAAAATAGAGCAAGGTTGTTTTTAAGTTGGTCATCGTTGAAGCCTGCATTTAAGTGAATTCAAGGTGGTTTAATGAAGGCAGGTGGACTTACTCGAAGTCGAACTCTCCATCTCTCACTCACTGCCTTTAATGGCTTGGTAGTTGGCATCCTTTTTCTCTTCCGCTTGGATTTCTTCCCTTTCTTCCAACTTTTTCTGTCGATCGTTTTTGGCATCATTTTTCCCCTGTTTCTAGCCTACGTTCTCTTCTTGTCTTTCTGTCTTTAGTAGTCGATTAGTAATTCTCTACCACCCTTTGTTCACCTCGAACTCTTTTGGGTAAATTTTTTTTTTCTACGACTTAAGACATACGGAATATATGCGAAGGAGAAGCTAGATTCCTATGAAATTCGCCTTGTAGGGTGATTTATCTCTAAATTACAGGGAACAATCTACGAATTCCACCATACATCTCGTAGGGTGATTTTATCTCTAAACCACAATTAAATTAAATCTTGGTGTAGAATTGATACCATGATAAGACCCTAAACCCAAAGAGCCTTTTCTTTTTCGAGTTAGTGTATATATTAATATATGTAGATGATAGAAATGATTGTTTTATACAGTAAGATGGGTGAATTGTCGGACGTGGTTGTATATGACTGGTACAGATTGAAATATCAGTAGGAATTGGCTTTACAAATCGATGGTATTACAAACTAACTACAGGAGATTTAATTCCAAGCCTCACCTAGTTTCAACCATGCAAATTCAGTGGCATGAAACGGCTATCAGGTATCCATGGGCACGAAGAAATGCGGATGAGTGATTGTTTAAGAGATTTAATTCGGGAGAGAGAAGGAGCAATAAATTTGGGCTTATGTTTTTTGGTAACTCATAGGACTTGGTTGATTTGAATGGCTGAGGGTGTTGAAAGCCTTTAAAGCATAGTTCTGAAGTGTTTAGTACATGTATAGGTCACCCATGGGCGTGTTCGTTTTGTGGGTGAAGAGGGTGTTGAGAGCTTTAAAGATTTTAGTTTTTGGAGTGACCCAATTGGGGAAGTTGGAGTTATTATCCACATTAAAGAACCATTGGCATTCAAGGCCTTCCTTCAACTGTATACAGATCCCAATATTAATGACCCATGCCTTTCCCTCTCCTTCTTCCCTTCTCACCGCCTTTCTTAAGTACCATAACTCTTCAGCGGCTTGGCTTGGTTTGGCTCAGTCGGCTTCGTAGCACACAAGTATAGCATGCCATGCCCACTGCAAGCCATATTAATTTAGTGCCAATATTACAGTTACATAATATGCTACTGTTGGTTGTGCTAGATTCTTCGGATGGGCGTGGGCTGTGTGGCAACTTTAGAGTGAAAAAGGACAAGGGATTAGAAATACTATTAGACCAATGATGTTAGTTAGCAATTCACATCTAAGACTTTATAGGAGCAGGCTTTGGCCTTGGAGCTGTGTATTTATTAATTGAAGAGGAAGCCAAGTTGGAAAAGCACGTCATGCATAGGTAGGCAAGCAACTTCTATTTCCGCCTTCAAGTTTTGCCCTCCCATTGTAGACCATTTCTCCTTTTGCGGTTCAAACAGTGCTACCCCGTCCTCCCTATATAACCACCTCAAGCTTGTTGGATATTTGGACGCTGAGACACGCGCACAGAGGTGAAACCCCTCTCCCTCACTGAATTCAACCGAAGCAATGGTTTCCTTCCATACAACCCTGCCCGACGCTCCATCTCCTGCTGTTCCTGCAGATTTCGAAGCTTCTTCAAACAAGAGGAAGTGGGAAGAGCCACTTGCTAAAGAATTTCTCAGAGATCAAACCAAAGCAGGTAAAAGGAAATCCATCTTCGATATAGAGCTTCACCTTGAGACCCCTTTACCTTCTGATAAATGGCAACGATACCTCGGTGTTCAGGTACATATACGTTCATATGCTGTCAAACTGATGCAAAAGCTATATATATGTGTAGCCACACACATACATATGTATGGTGGTTCGAAGGAGTGTATAATCTTGTTTAATCATGCAGTCAGGGCAGATACATAACACGAAGATGAATAAGAAAGCAGCAGAGGACCGGAAGAGGAGCCCTGAGCCTGAACCACCATCTCCTGGGAACATGAGCTTGGACCTTGGACTGAACTTAACGTGTGAATCCCCGAGAAAAAAAGGAGGAGGCATTTATGATATAAATGAGAAGCAGAGTCGTAGTTCCTCTGGTGTTTTGAATGAACACGATCTGTATATTGAATCGAGCAGGGAGGATAAGAAGTGCTCGGGTGGGTTAACTGGTTCTCCGTCGTGGTTGTCATCGGAGGTAGATCACAAAGAGATGGTCGCGACGGTATGCATGCGGTGCCACATGTTGGTGATGCTATGCAAGTCATCACCTGCCTGCCCTAACTGCAAATTCATGCACCCTCCGGACCAAAACCCTTCAACGTTCTTGAAGAGGAGATGCAGCCTCTTGTGCTAGTCCATTAAGAAACGTGCAGATACTGTTTTAGACTTTTAGTTTTAGCGTCGTCTTTTATTTCCCTGGCGAATAGCTATGTTTGCGTATGTTAGGAAGTGTGCAAATTCCTAACAGCGTATGCTGCTGTAAGTTGAAATTAGTGGAGGTGAGGGGTTATTCTACATTTACCAAAATGTTGGCTTTTAAAATATGGGGTAACCTATGATGATATCAAGCTACTTCTAACGTATCTAACGATATATGAATTTTATCTAGAAGCTTTTTCGATGATCCAGGCTTTATCGGTATATGTTACGTTGTCGGGTGATAGTAAAATTTCGGCAAAGTGAAACTTGGCAACACCTGTTTGCCGTATCATACTCCACTTACAATCACGTTGTGAAAAAATAACTGGTTTCCTTTCTTGTGACGTTAAACGCCTGGTAGCCCTCAGAAGGGCCACTTCGAAAAATTTGCAGGGCAAAGAGTACTGATTTTCTTTGAATATCACATCACAGTCTTCATGTGTTAATGTGACAGTATTTAAGTGAAGGGAGTGCAGTGAAACAGGAGATTTCTTATATTTGCGCTTTCGTAGTAGGAGCATTACATCCATTCATTCATGCAGCGAGAGGCGAACTGTTGAGAAGTTTGAATTAACGGGGCATCGTCAGCAATGGCTGCAGAGAGCAGGGGGCAATGCTTCCGTGTGAAATGAGGTTAGCTATATGATGAGCAAGAGCAAGAGGAACGGTTCACGTCTCTCCCACCCGAATTAAAGGCTAGAAGTGAGAACATATTATATGATGACAGAAAGACCTGCACACATGCCAATCTCATTAGTTAGCTTACTTTTTTGGTGCGTTTCCGTCGCATTAATTAATTGCATTTTGGACGTTAATGTCTAGCCTCCCCTTCCTTTACTTTCAGTTCTCTATTAATTCAGAGGATAATGGGTGGCGATTGCAACTGCTAAACACATAAATCAATTAATTTTCGCATAATCCACCTTCAAAAAAAAAAAAAGGTAATTTTGATGGTAATACTAGCAGTGCCATACTGGTATGGGGTAACTGCAAAATACTTTCTGAACGTCGGAACTACCAAGTCAGTTGCATTTATGGAGTGCTTCATCGACTGAGGTGATTTGCCAATGCTATTGTTGGGGGAAAAATATTAATACTCCTAATAAATTCTCCTACCATGAAAATTCTTATAATTTTATTGAAATCATATACTCCTCCGTTTAGTATTATAACTTTTAATCGAATTTGATTTCAAATGATATAGTTGTTGTAGATAAAAAAAGAGATTAACTGTAAATTTCAGTTATGGTGGAGAATATTAAAATCAAAAAGTTTTCGTTTGGGTAAGAATAAAATAAAATATTTGCATTATAATTTTGATAAGAGGTCGGTTAGTAGTAATTTGAAAGTAAAATTGAGATATCAAATTATACCTCAGGTAAAAAAAATTAGATATTTAAGAATTATTATTCAACATGAAGAAAAAATTGATGGGTATATTATACATAGGATACCAGCTTGGTGATTTAATTGGAAACAGGTTAAATGAGTTATTTGCAATCAAATGGTACTTACTAAACTTAAAAAAAAGTTTTATTAAACTGTTATAAGACCAATTATGCTATATGGTAATGAATGTTGGACTTTGACAAGATAGCAATAGCATAAAGTTGAAGTAGTAAAGATAAGAATGTTAAAATAAACGTGCAGAAATACACTTTAAGATAAAATTTGAAATGAGAATATACAAAAAAAAATGGGCGTAGCATCTATTAAGAAAAAATGATAGAAAATTATTTAAGATGGTTTAGATATCTACAAAGAAGACCGCGAGAGGCATCTACGAGGAGATTGAAATAGATAATTTTGAGTCCTGTTTAGAGAGGTAGATAAAAGTCAAAGAGAACACTTATGGAAACTCTTGACTGATATTTTTTAGTTAACAATATTTCTAAAAGCTTGATAAATGATATAACACAATGATATTATGCAATCCACATAGCCGATCTCACGTGACAGGATAAGGCTTATTTTTGTGATTGTATGTAACATCCTAAAAGTCTAATTGCCTGTTAATTAAATCAATTAAGAATAATTAAGTGATAATTAGTGTGGTGTGTGGACAAAGAAGATTAACAAATATTTTGGATTGTATTTTTAGCTCTAAATGTGGGCCTAGGGCAAGGTCGGGTTACTTGAACCTTAAAATAGGAAAAAAATAAAGGAATGTAGCTTCGTGCCATATGCTGCAACGCATAGTCACAAAAATGCGAAGGAATCCTCTTTGTGCTGCATGACATGGCACCTGAGTGCCATAGTGTATGGACAAAATTTGACAATAATAAGTTGCGAAATCAAACAAAAAATAAAGGGAGAAAGAGGGAGATAGAGAGAAAGCGATGGAGAACACTTTAGGACTTTGCTATGGCTTGGTTTTGTGAAGATTTGAGAGCATTTTGGAGCATGCAACTCCTTAGGATAAGTTTCCTAAGCTCTATTCTCCATTTCTCTTCCATTTTTACATATTTTTGAGTTAGTGTTTATGTTAGGAAAATGATTCTTGGTCTATAAAAGCTATAGGTCTAAATCTATTAACTTAAATAGAGTTAATGAGAGTTATTTGAATTATCTAAACCTAAGATTTATGAGTTTATAAGTTTTGATAGTTGGAATGGCATTAATGCCCAGAAATTTAGAATAAATGAAGAAGTTAGAGTTTGTTAGGAATCACTAATGATGATTGGAAAGTTTAATGAAACTCATGAGAGCTAAAGTGAATTAATGAAATCAATGGCTAAGTCTAAATCAAGGTTATTAAACTCGCAAGTTTAAGTAAACTCGTGACAGAAATGTAAATTCATATCGCAAACTTGAATCATAAACTCGTAAGTGTGCAAGTTTACCTCTATTAATAAATAACCATTAAAATATGATTGTAATTTAAATATATTAAAAATATAAATTATTGAAATTAAACCCATTTACATTGCTAGATTATCATATATAAGACATTGAAGTTTTAAAATAAGGGAACTTATTTTTTATATTTTTATTTTCTTTTTTATTAATACTAGTTTTTGTATACAAAGTTTTTTTTCTTTGAATCAAGTCTTATAACTTTTGTAACTGAATTCTTCATAATATATATTTAACTCGCTCAACTTAAAAAAAATTGAAGAGCTTAATAAGTTTAACTAAGCTTATATTCAGTCTGAGTTTATAAATTAGTTAACACAATTTTGTAAGTTAAAAACATAAAATTGGTAAACTTAAAGGTAAATTTGCGAGTTTAATTGAGTTTATATCTATTCTGAGTTTATGAATGAGTTAACACAATTTTGTTAGCTAAAATTGTAAAAATGTTAAACTTATAGAATTAACTCGAAAGTTTGACAACTATGGTCTAAATGCTAGAAATGATAGCTTTGGATATTTTATATTGCAATCAGTATTACTCAAGTTTATATAAGTTAATTATAGTTTTTGGGAACTAATATATCCAATGGTCGGGAGTAAATTCAAGAGATTGATATTATGTAGTAATTAAAGTGTTGGAATAGGAAGTTTAGAGATTGCAAGCAATGATATTGATGATTATGGAATTGGTTAATTGTAAATTAATCATCACTGGCATCGAATTAAGCTTGAGGTCAAGTTTTGGAAGCATTTATTGAGAGGTAAATTTTTGACTATTTAAAAGTTTGAGGTAATAAGAGAAATATATCTTGTGTGATTGTGTGTTAATTGATTTAAATTCCTAAGTAATATTTTTATAAAGTACAGTTGAGGCTATGATGGTAAATTAAACAAAAATCACATGTTATGTTATGATAATGAGAACTTTATAATGATTAATTTATAAAGATAATTGCGATATGAGAATGAGAAAATGCGTAATGGTATATATGTATGGAGAAATGTGAATATGTGAAAGTATGTGTTGATATATTGGTGTGGATTTGTATATCATGCTCACGTGTTGTAGCCTGATGAATATCCATAAATGAGCTTGCCATTATGAGTTGTAAACATGTGGATGTGTGAGTATGAGCGAATGCATGATCACATTAGCGGGAGTTCGCCTAGAAAGAGGTGTAGAGATAAAATCCACATGATATTGGCTGTTTATTGTTGGAATCGAAAGCTGCAGCTACCTACTGTTGAAATCGAGAAACAGCCACTCTCCTACTGTTTGTCAAGGAACTATCTCATAATTTATTGAAAGACTAGAACCTAGCTATCTCAATCTATTTATCGAGGGGGCTAACTTAAGGTTTATGACACCTTAAGAATTCAGGAATAAGGGAAGTCATAGCTCGAGAGTGAGGGTAGTGACCTTGGCTAGGTTGCTTTTCACAATTAGTGAGCTTAGATAGTCTAATCATATAGATAAAGCCTTATTTGATTAATAGCTCATGGTTTTAGTTGAAAGGTATAAGGAGGATATAAGGTTGGTTTGATTATGTATATTATTCAACGTGTCACATGGTTATTAAGTTTGTAGTAAGTTGTAATATTTAAGTTGACTATTATAACATGGTTGTTAGTATTGGAATAATATGCTTTGTGATTTGAATTGCAAAAATATGAGATTATGATGAATTATACGAAATGACATATGATATTTTGTGAAGCTGTACGATATGTGATTATATGCCTCATACATTATTTGTTTTAAAAATGTCGATTAATGTGTAATTGCATAGGGTACAGAAACCTTAATTATTGAGTGATTATGCTCACTTTTCTTCTTTAACATTTTACAGGTTCTAGCTCAGAACAAGAAAAAGGAAAAGCATATGAGGCATAGAACCACGTGTTCCTATAATAGGCCTCACTTTGGTTTGTTTATGTGTAATGTAATATTAATATTGCTAACTAAAATTTCATGTTTTGAGTTCATGCATTTACTTACATCAAATACTTGTTGAGTTGATATTTGTATTCTAGGCCCTTAATATTGTGTAATATGAAATAATGATATTGATAGGGTAAAATTATTGGTGCAAGTAGGGTATAAGAGATGGGTATGAATGTGAATATATGAAAAGGGATTTATTATGACATATATGCTATGTTGAACCTCCCTTGTCTGTTTGATATTAAGGGGTTAAAGGCTCAAAATGATATATTGGAGTTATTTTATGCATTTGGTGTGTTATACAAGTAGTTTTGGATCCATTGAATGTGTTTGGGTATTGGTTGTAGCTTTTAGCATAAGAGTTGAGTTGTGGACACCCTGTGTATTGTGAAAAGTGTGAAAATAAATTTGGGTTTTCAATTCTTTTGTGTGAAATTATTTGGGAGTAGCACTCGTGCCACTAGCTATTGCATGACAATAATTTTCTATAAACACCTATTTTTCCTCAATTGGATGTCAGATGAAGAAATGGACATACCAGGAGTTGGTTCCATTATTGTTAATTTTGTATAGCATGTCATAGCACATGGTGCCTATGCTGTGGCACGTTACATAGAGAGGAGCATGACGCAACGTATGTAAGCCATGCCATGATGCCTGCCCCTGTTTTATATTGTCTAGATTTTCTAAATTTTTTTGTAATGCTTTTGATGTAAAATGTTATCTCATGCTTTCATAGTTATTTTAATCTCTATTTTAGATCAACTGTTATCCTTAGAAATAATCTTTGAATGGTTGAAAAACTTGGAATCTCAGTTTATGAAGGAATACCATTTGAATTCAATAGTGTTTTGAGAATGATTAAGGGTAGGAAAGGTCATTGGGGTTAATGTTATGATTACCCAGGAGTTTTAAATATATTGATTAGTAGGGAGACTTTACAATGTACCTTTATGAGAAATATTTGGGTAGACCGAGTACACCATATCATTTGTAACCTGTCTAATTTAAATGTTCTGAGTAATCTAAATAAAATCTTGTGTGACACTTTTTAAATTGATTTTATTTCTATTATAGAATGCATATTTGATTTTTTACATTTTCTTTCTCTACTATTATTAATATTATAATGAATTTATATTCAATGTAATTTAAATGTCATGTTTTTACTGGATAGACTATAAATGACGTGGTGCACCTGATCTACCTAAATATTTCTCTACTTTTATTTGATAGGACGTTTCAATTAAAAAACTTATTAATTATATGCTTTAGTTAATGGTATTTTTAAAAAAATCTCATTAATTATTTTTAAAATATTTTATATTTTTGAATGGAAGTAATAAACTTTACCTTTATTGCTTTTAGTCCTTAGTCTCATTCGAAGAGAAATTAAGGGTACTTTATACGTGTTTGCATTTAGCGATCATTAGGCATGATAAGTACCATGTGCCTACCAGCCTAAAGATAATCAGGGCCTTCTAATTTATCTCAAAATGATATCTGTCATTCATTTTAAATTAATTTGTATGTATTTTTAAAACTGTATTTATTAAAATTAAAATTATAAAAAATTTAATATTAAGTTTAGATTAGTATTACTCATCATCCTTAACAAGACTAAGACTGTTCAAACTTAAAGCTTTTTATTTTTATTTTTATCAAATGTAAAATTGTTAATAAGCATGTTCGTCATTAATCTAGCTAGTACAAATTTAGTTTAGATTGACTATTTTAATATTAAAATATTTTAATTTTATAAATTTACTATTTAAATATATTCTGAACAGTATAAATATAATATAAGTGATCTAATTTAACACTAAAATTTTATAATTTTTATAAATTAATTATTTAGATATATTTTGGATAATATAGATTTAATGTCACTTTTGTTATAAATTTTTATTTTAAAAAATAGAGTATTAAAAATTAATTTAAAATAAATGACATATATCATTTTAAGATAAAGTGGAGGATCCAATCAACTTTTGAGCCGACGAGCATAGATTGCTATCGCTATTTTATACAATTTTTTTTAATAAAAAGATGAACTATTAATTAATTATTTCCTTTTAATCTTAATCTTTCACGATTTTCCATGAATAAGGTAAAAATTACATATAAAAGAAAAATAATTTTAAAACAATGTATTTAATAAAAATAAATTTAAAAATTTAAAAAAAAATATAATTTTAAATTTCTATACTTTATTCATATTTTATTATTAATTTTTGTATTTTTTTGATATTTTTAATTTTTATAATTTTATTTTTTATTGTTTTAAGAAATTTTGAATTTGAAGGAATTTAAAATAATAAAAAATAAAAATAAAAATTAAAAATATTAAAAAAAGTATAAAAATTAATAACAAAACACGGGCAAAGTAAATACACATAAAATTATGTTTTTTAGTTTAAAATAATGAGTTAAAAAAAGTTAAAGAGCACATATCCGAAACTTTTTTCAATTTCTGTCGAAATTATGTAAATATGTTTTTATTATAAACAAAATATAAAATTTTCCCAGACAAATAATTAATTCACATTGTTTTGGCGCACGGGAGTGTCGTTTACATGAGGCGGCTAGGGCGGGAATGGCGGTGGGTATTTCAAGACCCAGAAACGGCTTCCCTATGTCAAACTGTATGAAAGCACGAAAATGTGGAAAGAGAGAAGAGAGGGCCGGATGGAAAACCAAGGCAAGGATCTGAAATCGCAAATGGCGATACGTCGCTGTGCAAAAGCTGCTCTCCTCCTTTCCGACCTGAAATCACTCCCCAGTCTCGCCCCGGATGACAACGAGGTCTAATTTTGAAATGACTCGCATTTTAATTGGTTGCCTTTTTGTTTCTCTGACTTCCAGTTTTGTTTCTCAAGCTGTTGAGGAGAGAAATCGAAGACCTAAAGATTCAATTGGTCAAGCAGCGTTTGATTAACAAGAGAATCAAGCTCTGCGCCCTTTCAGAATTAATTGTCCAAGTCTTCTTGATGCTGTCTCTTTTGACTTTCTTCTTGATGCTCGTCCTGGAAACTCTTTGAACAGTTCTATCAATCTGTGTTCATTTATTTGCTTTTCCTCGCCAGCTTGCAGTGAATCGCTCGGTTTTTTGTGCGTGCCGGATGGATGACTCGACCTTCGACTTCTTCTGCCGCTGATGATGCTGTACCCTTCTGCTGCTAACAAACATTGATTACGGTTAGTTGAAATTATTAACCATAGAGAAGTTTATATTTCTGATATCGCCGGGGCTTCGAGTCTTCCAGGAAGATAACGCGCTGTTTAGAGGCGATGGTTTTGTTTATTACTTCCTCGTCCTCATTTATCAGGCATTCTTTGGAAATTTATCTTACCTTTAAATATAAAAGGTATTATCAAGAAATTTATCTTATCTCTAAATATAAAAGGTATCATAATATATTTAAATAATTTTGTTCTTGTGTTGAAAAAGAAAAGAAAAGAAAAGAAACCGTCTGATTTACTTACCACAAACATGATGTTCAGTATAAGATTGAAAAAGTATTATAATTTTATATAATTTTAATTAAATAAAAAATTTTTATTAATATGTATGAGTATGTTAAAAATACGTTACATATAGAGATGAAAGGGGGCACCATTAATAGTACCTGGATTATGGATTAACTCATTTCTCTTCTTAATTTGGGGTTCCAAGTAGCCCAGTATGACATTCCCCCCTCTCCCCCCTCTTGTTTTTTTTATTGAGTGAGATTATTTTTAGAGAATTTTTTGTATGTACTTGATGCATCATGTCATTTATATTTTGTCCAATAAAAACATGTTATATTTTATTAGTTCAATCAAATAAAATGTTATATATCATTATTTTTAATATGTCATGTTGTAATATTTCAATCAAATAAAATCTTATGTCATGCTCTTATTGGACACAGCATAAATGACATGGTGCATCATGTGTATGCAAGAATTTCTCCGATTTTTATTGTTTTTAGGTTTCTTTTAACATAACTACTTATAAATTAAAGGGATGAGGTGCAATAAAATAGTTTGTTTTGAACCATTGACATTTTAAACTCAATTGTGATATAATTTTATGATTTTATCTATCAATTTTAAAAGATGATGCATAAATTTCCATTTCGTGGTGGACGTTAGATATTTGTTAAATAAGGGATGTAAGTCCAACATGCTTTGCCATGTATGAATGGTTAAGGAAAAAAATAATGCCATTTCACCCATCAATTCTTAAAAACAGTGTAGAAATTCTCATTCCATAATGAAAGCACGTGTTAGCAAATATTAACCCTAAATGTTAGAAACACTGACATTTTATTTGACCAGAAGTATAGATGCGAAAGTATTTCCAGCAATGATTAATTTTAGGCATAATATTCCATTTTGTCATGGGTCACAATCATATAAACACATTTGGATTCAAATTCATATAAAAGTTATTCTTTACTGTTGGACTCTCTTTCACATGACTATCCAAATTAAATCACACTCTCATCCCCTCCTTCTCTTTCCCTTTTTGAATTGCCAAACTCATCCCCTCTCTCAGCTCTCTCTTTCTAAGGGGTTGAACCCTTCTGAGAGCATCAAAAATTGATATGATTTTTAGATGAGTTTTCAATGGTGATATGAAAGTTCACACAATAATTCAAAATCTCATAATATGTTATTTTATAGAGATCGCACTAATTGAAAATATCCATACAAAGTTGAAATTATGTTTGGAGTCTCTCAAATAAACTCTCAACCTCATGATTACCTAAAAAGCCATTTGTTATTCAAACTAGAATACCGATAAACAAAGGTTGTTAAAAAAAAGTTTTATTTAATATGCTGCTATCTATATAAGAGTGGTATTTAAAAATAAATAAATAAAAGACTCATGACTTAACTATGACTCCCAAAGAATCTTAATGTGAAATCTCTAACGGATAGCTTAAACTCAAACGGTTATATTAGGTTATTAAAACTTAAAATACTAAATAAATAAAGTACGTGAAAAATAAATATGAAAATTCGTTGAAAATAAAAAAAAAACTTGACTTAATTAAACTAAAGGGATTCTAATAGCCTAAATATTCTCTCTAACTTCTTGACTGTCCCACTCTTAATGTCATTATGGATATTACCTTGGAAGCCTTATTGGAGATCACATTGGACGCTGCTTGTGCTCACATTAAAGAGAATTGTATTTATATACCTATAATTATGACAAAAAAAGAAATTGTGGTGCTTAGGGTTAATGCTGGCCAAAACAAACTTGAATATATATATATATATATATATTTTTTTCATTTACATTTCAAGTTAAATAAAACTTTTATTTTTCTGATATTCACGGTCAATATTTGTTAGCACATGCATTTATCTTTTATTGAAAATTTTTGCACCATTTTTTAATATTGATGGGCAAAATTGCTCTATAATATTGTATGTTATGAATATTTTTGCTCATAATTCATTTACATGCGGCACAACATCAGGGATCTATAATTATTACTTAACAAACGCATGGCTTCCATAATAGATTGAAGAGTTTTGCATTGTTTTTCAAGATTGATGTGTAAATTTACATCATACTACTTGAGTTTAAAATATCAGCTGCTCCGTGCAAAATATTGTGTGTTTTTAATTTAATCCTAAATTAAATGTACAATCGTTCTATTAATGTGGAACTAAACCGCAACCTTCTCAAATCAAACTATTTTTTCAACTTTTATTCTTTTAATGCTTTGCTGGGAAAATGAAAGAAATAATTGCATGAAGTCAGTTTTCAAAACTTCGCAAAATTCTGCTTTTGTGACTAATATCAAATAATTCCTTTTCAGAAGCGTAAAAATTACTAGCTTTATTTAAAAATATAAAATATTTTTAATTAAATTTTACTTTTAATAAAGTAGTTACCTATTTTTTAACTAATCCTATTTTTTCATATTTATTCCTATTAAATACCTTACAATAAATATAAAGTTATTATTAATAAAAATATTTTTAAAAAAGATAATGATTATAAAAATATTTTATATTTTTAAATATTTAATTTTTTAAAAAATATTTTATATTTTTAAAGAGGGAAGTAAGTTTTTTCACCAATAACTTGTTAAAGAAAAACGCTTGCAACATGCGTTGGTTAGTACGCCTGTCGCATAAAGTTATACGGCGGGCCATTTAGCTTTCGCTCCTCCAACCCCCCCGCCCTTTTTTTTCATTTTCACCCACTTTTTTCATCATGGAGAAACGATAAAACAACTCTTCGACCCGGAGAAAAACATGAAAGTGGGCACTCTCCTTTTTTTTTTTTTTCATTTCCCCTTACTTCTCCCATCTTCACCATTTATTAATTTTATCATTTAAAAATTATTTAATAAAAAAATTTGAATGGTGGAGATGGGAGAAGTAGAGGAAAATGGAGGAGAAAAAATGAAGACACCCCTAGTCCATAATTGATTAGGCTGGCTCCTGATTATTTGTATTTATATTTCTATTTTTTAATTAAAATATCATATAATGAGTACAAATATATAATGGGAAAATTTTACTAAAAACTTCTGGACCAGAAATAATAAAAAAGAGAACATCTACATTTCTAAAACTCTACTACAAATTTAGGATATTGAATTGAAATTAAGATTTTTTAAGAAATGACGAGACTATCCTTAAAGAAATGAAATTAAAAAAAAATGAACTATAAATGTGTAGGGTTATACAAGTAAAGTAGGATAATTAATGGTGATATGAAAAGTAATGAACTATATATAGTAGGAATACGATTAAGTTGTGTTAATATGAAAGCAACATTTAAAATTAATTGAAGTAAAAATGTTGTAATACATAAGTGAAATAAAGCAACTAACGTTAGTCTGGTAAGTATTGAATAACATATAGTAGAAATATGAACAAGTTGTGCTAAATTTTTTTACCATTTTTCAAAGAATTTTAATTTTAATTTAGTATCCTAAACTTGTAGTAAAGTTTCAAAAATTCAAGAATTTTCTCTTTTATTATCTCTTATCCAGGGTTTGTGTTGAAATTTTCCCATATATAATTCTTTACCAATCATAATAATATATTACAAGGTTAATGAGTAAATAGGATCCTAAACTCTTGCTCAAAAATCGTTCTAAACCCTGAACTCTTTTAATATGTAAAGTAAATCTTAAACTTTTAAATTCATAACAAAATAAATCATTATCGTCAACTTTTTTAATATCATTATTGTCAATACGGATACTGTAACAGTTAAGGTTAAATTTATAAAAAAAATAAATTCTAAACAGTATCTGTGTGGACAGTAATGATGTTAAGAAGTTAACGGTCAAGATTTATTTTACTATAAATTTAAAAGTTTAAAATTTATTTTATATATTTTAAGAGTGTAGGATTTAGGGTGATTTTTAAACAATAATTCAAGGTCCTATTTACTCATTAATCTTATATTATATGCACGATTTAATTAACATTTTTATTTTTAAATCGCAAATTTATTTTTAAAAAGGCATCCATCAAAAATTATTTTTATTTAAATTTATATACGTTAAAATAAAAATATTTAAAACATTATGCTTAATAAGATAAATTTTAATTTAGAATACTTTCTCCGCATCCTTCTATAAAACATTTTTTAATGTGAGTTAATGTTAAAAAATATAAGAGATTTTTTAAAATAAGGTTTTATGAAAAATGATTATCTCTATATTATTACCCATTATTTCATTTTATACATACATACATACATACATACATATATATATATATATATATTTATCCTCTTATTAATGAATAATATTTTAAAAAAATTATAAAAACTCAAGATTATAAATTATATTTAATAAATTTTATTAATATATATAATTTGTTAAAAATATTTGATGTCTCAAAATATAAAATATTTTAATAAAAATAGGATTTCATTAATAATATTCTCTCCATTTAAAAATATAAGACATTTTTAAAAAATTAAATGTTAAAAAATGTAAGATATTTTTAATCTTTTAAAATATAATAATTATTTTTTTTAAAAGTGTCTCTATTAATAATAACTTTATATTTATTATAGAATGTTTAATGAAAAAAAATATAAAAAGATAAGGTTAATTTAAAAGTAAGTAACTATTTTATTAGGAGTGTAATTCGATTAAAAATATTTTACATTTTTAAATGGAAGGAATATTTTTTTAAAATTATTTTTTTATTTATTCTCTCTTTCATACTCTTTTATAAATATAGTATTAAATAAAAAATATTTTTAAAGATTTATATTTTTCTGTTAAAAAAATTAAAGTTATAAAATATGTTTAATAAATTTTATTAATATTTATAATTTTATTTAAAAATATCTTATTATTTAAGTGCAAGTGGTGCAAATGATTATTTAAATTTGTCATGGTCAACCCATGATTAATAACGGGATAGTTTCCATTGGCCAGAATCAGGCAAGAGAAAAAGAGCTAACGGGCTCGGGGCGGTAGTTGTTTTCTACGACGCGTTTGAAAGAAGGAAAAGTAAAATTTGGTCGCGGTGGCAAATCTACTATGCTCGGCGATGAGAGCAAAGTGTTGTGCCCCATTATCACCCTTCATACTGCGACTCTCACCTTCAGGCCTTGTATCCTACATTTCCATTTTTTCTTGAGAAAGGTCTCATGTCTTTGCGTTCAATAGCCCTAGAAACACCACCTCCAATCAGCTGCACTTCTAGCTCTGCTTTATTTAGAAAATGCCACCGCTGGAGTTATGTTGCTCACAGGAACAATCTTGTCCTCCGATTCTGTTCAAATTCAATTGCGGTGCTGCCTCCTTCAATGGAGGCGGCTTGTTTCTCGAACCCACAGTTCCTGTTTCATTTTCCCGTTTGATTTCGTCTAGAATTCCTCTCGGTACTGCTTCTTGTTCGGCTTCTTCTGCATACTATTCCCAGCAACCTGTAGTTTTTGGAGGTTTCCGGAGACCGAGGAGGACCTCTGCTACAGCTGGTGGTTGGTTTTTGTCGGCTAGCTTGAGAGGGGGTAAATTTGTTGGGGACCCCAAGATAGATACGGTGCAAAACGGAGGCAAGAGCTCCGACAAGGCTGTTTCGAGTGCCAATGCAGTTGCTGGGCAACGAAAGTCACAAAAGGTTAGAGTGCGGGGCGGCAGTGCTATGAACACCACCAAGCATCTATGGGCTGGTGCTATAGCTGCCATGGTTTCTAGGTATATTTTTTTCGGTGTCCTTATCTGAAAAGTGGGCGTGAGCCATGCCACTACGTTTTCCTCTGGCGTTGTTTTCAATTTGGTGTTTTGGTTACAATGATTTTTAATATGCTCTTATTTATCACACATTGCTGTAAAATTTTTGTGGCGCAACCCTTTAGAAGGATATATCACCCTGTATTTGTAAAGTGGCTTTATTTTATGCATATTGATGCAGTAAATGAATAAAATTGTTCGTATAGAACCGATTCATGTCACTGAGGTCGCAATCTTTTAGTGACCCACTCGGATCAATGATCTTCACATCTCTGCATAACTGATGTTTTATACTTTATTACCTGATGATGTTATAGCTATATATCTTTCAGCATTGTATATGGTTTAAGACCATAACTTTTGACTCGAGTTTGGGTCTAATGTAGCCACAACAATGAAATAGGAACAACTTTACCTACATACGTAGTGATTACAGTGAATTTTTACGAAAAAGAATGGAGGTAAAACAATAAATTGCTTTGCATTTTGAACTAAAAATACTGTTTAGTGAGTGTGTACTTTTGTGACCCTGGGGAAATTGCCTTTGTGATTTGATTCAACTTGCCTTTTTTTTAACCTATTTCAATGCCTACTTTTTGCGTAATTATTTTCCCCCCTTTCTAACAATGCATTTGCCTTTGTCAGAACTTGTGTTGCCCCACTTGAAAGACTTAAGCTGGAATACATAGTTCGTGGTGAACAGAAGAATATTTTTGAGCTTATTAAAACAATTGCGGCTTCTCAAGGATTGAGAGGCTTTTGGAAGGGGAACCTTGTTAATATTCTCCGAACAGCTCCGTTTAAAGCAGTTAATTTTTGTGCTTATGATACATACAGAAAGCAGTTACTCACATTGTCAGGAAATGAGGAAACTACCAATTTTGAGAGGTTTATTGCAGGTGCTGCAGCTGGAATCACTGCTACCATTATTTGCCTACCACTTGACACTGTATGTGGAAATCTTGAAATATGATCTCTCTGTTTTTTCTTTTAATGCCTCAACCAAAGCAACAGACACATATGTTCATCATGCTTTAATATTGATAAATCTGGTAATTCTTCATTTATGATATGCTCAACCAGTTGTCTTTCTATCATTGCAAATATGTAGTGCCAATCTGTTTTTGTGGTTGGAACTGATCAGAAACTATAAGCGTGTCCAATATCCATCTAGTCTCCAGGTCTTGGTTGGATTGATTGTTAAAAATAACTTAGCGATTTTGACATTTCCTGGTTAAGGGAACTTGGTTATTTTATTCAAAAGATGAATGGTGCTGGTCAGCTATATGTACCCTTCAAGTCTGAATGCTGGCCATTAAGAGTGGTGATTTGGGCATGTTTTGGCTGATTAAACATGTCAACTTTTGTCACACTTGCATGTGAATGCAGGGTGCAGTTGTAGAGTAAGATAAATTACCTTGTGTCAAACACTTACTCTTTCCATAGTGGATATGAAGAATGCTTAAGCTTTAAAGTCCCTATTTGAAAATAAGGAATCTTGACAAATTTTTTGTTAAATGTTTCCTGGCAATGCCTTCATAGAGGCCTACTCACACTGTAAGCTGGGCCTTGCTTTAAAGTAGTTCTTGTATGCATTTGTATTGATTCATGAAGATATGGGGTCACGACTGAAGAATATGGACAAAAATTTTTGAGGGCTTTTCTGTTATTCTGATATTATTTTAAAGAAGAATGAGAAGTAAAATACTAAAATTTGTTCCTGTTTTGGTGGTTTGATCTTCTCTCTTCCTGTCCAGCTGGCTGGTCCCTTTGCAACTCAATTTTTTAATTATTTATTAAAATTCAAATAAATGAGGAAGAGTGTGTCAGTGTGATTGGCATAAATGCATGAAATGCGTGCATTTTTTTTTTTTTGATTCTGCCATGGAAAAAATGGTACACCATCCTTTCTGTTTTTTCGCTTCAACTTCATTATGAGCTCCCAATGCAAGTAGGTCTTTTAGTGAATCAAACTGTATGCATTTAACTATTTTGCACTGTGATCACTGGAAGTCTGAACCATGTAGTGTCTTTTAGATTCGAACCAAGATAGTGGCACCTGGTGGGGAAGCCTTGGGTGGTGTAATTGGAGCTTTCCGCTACATGATTCACACTGAAGGGTTCTTTTCTCTTTACAAGGGTTTAGTGCCCTCGATTATAAGTATGGCTCCTTCTGGAGCGGTTTATTATGGAGTATATGATATACTGAAGTCTGCATATCTGCATTCGCCCAAAGGAATGAAAAGAATTCAGAACATGAAAAAAGAGGGGCAGGAATTGAATGCCTTCGACCAGCTTGAGTTGGGGCCAATAAGGACGCTACTGTATGGGGCTATTTCTGGTGCTTGTGCTGAGGCTGCTACCTACCCGTTTGAAGTGGTAAGGAGGCAGCTTCAAATGCAAGTGCAATCCACAAAATTAAGTTCCTTAGCAACTTGTATCAAGATTGTTGAGCGAGGAGGCATTGCAGCTCTCTATGCTGGACTTATTCCCAGCTTATTGCAGGCATGCATATCTTAACTTCTGGAATTCTCCCCTTTTCTTTCACTGGTCTTCGTAAATTTAGCTGTATGGATACCTAGTTAATACTTCTTTCAATTAAGGTGATCATGCACCAGGGTCCAGATGTTCAATTATCTGTTGTGGATAATTTTGATTGTGGTTCTTAATATCATGATGTTTCTTATGACTCTCATTATATTCTTCTTCTGCTGTTTTTTTTTTTTTGAAGGGAGGGCGTTTAATTATTTACATTCTAAATTAGATCGTGCTGTTATGTAGTGACCACAAGATGGCCATGCTTCTCTTCGTCTTCTCGTTTCCTTTTAAAACTATATTACCCTGCTGTATCGCAAATAGAAATGACACTTCAGTAATATTAAGTTGTGTCATTGGAGGCTATACACGTCAATTTTATTGCACGCACATGTATACTTTCATTTTGATAATTCTTCCTGAACATGAGATTTATAAATTTCTCATTCTGATTGTCCTATTTGCAGGTGCTTCCTTCAGCAGCGATAAGTTACTTTGTCTATGAGTTCATGAAAATAGTTCTCAAAGTGGAATAGGTAGCAAGTAGATCCTCAGGTATGTATCATGGGAAGATTTAGAACCAGTAGACTTATGCCCAACTGATCACTCCATTCGCATGTATTACCAACAAAAGTAAATTTTTGGACTGACTCAAAAAGTCAACCTACCCATGCTTAAAGTCTGCAAATATAACTGTTTAGTCTCTACCGGAAGGTGAATTTATTTTTTCTTCCATCTGCTCAAATTTGTTTGCATTGTTATCTGGCCTTAAATTAATAATGCTTTTATGGATGAAAATTCTTCATATTCTTGAAAAAAAAAATTAAAAAATACAGTTAATTTTAAATAAAATTGAATTAATAATTGTCATATAAGAGTATATGTTGTCTATAATTGTAACCAAACAACCCCTAAGAAATCCAATTTATTTGTCGTCTAAGAATTGTAGTTATTTTGCCTAGTGTAGTGTTTACTATGTTATTTGCTGTGTGATGAGCAACTACTGCAATTAGTTGATATAACTTGTTGATTCTAGGACAACGTAGTGTGGAATTTTTTCTTCATCTTTTCTTGCTGATATATGTGTATGTGTGTATATAAAATGTATGGTACTAATGGGGCATGGTTGCCTTGTAACTTATCTGATCATCCTTGAGAACGAATGTCATTTTAAGATTTGAAAGAACAAATAAAGAATTGCCATTCCTTCCGCTGAGATACAATCCCCCCCCCCCAAACCCTCTTTTCTGGGGTGGACTCAAAATTGATAGAAAAGTCACATGTACATTAAACTCAACATATTAACCAAATTAAGTTCTATGGATCGTTTTCGATATAAGTGTAGAGATTTTTCTTCGTTCTTATAACCTCAACATAAAAATACACGAACCAAATATAAAATATTGTTAAAATAAGAGAAAATGTTGAGTTCTAAGTTGATTCCAGCTCCCGAGCATGTCATTGTGAATTCAGTTTTAATTCTGAACCACAAAGGCAAGGAAGAGAAGAGAAGATGTTACACACTAGCTGATTGAATAGGAGTGCTTCGACAGGAGAGTTTTACAAGAATTATGCTCAAGAATAGAAAAAGAACTAAATTCTTAGATAGCTTATTGCAGACAAAAACTCAATATTGTTTGATCAACAGGGGGGAGCCGGATGGACTGTAGACTGTTCGTTGTCTCCCGTTCTCTATATCGTGTGGAGAGGACCGACAGAGGGTTATGGACAGGATAATGGTGGTTGCCTCTTCACTCCAACTCCCCACCCTCCTCATTTACTAGGCTTTTGTTTTGAATGAAATTGTTAGGACTGAGGAGTTAGGCCTAATAATTAAGAACATGATACGGACGTTTGCTGTCACGAAAGGTATACTATTCATTCATTCATTTATTTTTCGAGTAGCGAACGAAAGGCATATTTTGCACATTGCAAATAGGAGGATCAACATCCTTCGTATAATTTTCATTTGGTTTTGAAAAAATACTTTCGTCTTCACGCGTTTCTTTTTTTCTTGATGAAAACTATTGTTTCGAATTTATTCTCTTCATTATGGATTCCATTGTTCTGGAGAAAGTTCCGCTGACAATCTGAGCTGGGATGATTAGTGTAACTGTAACCTTTGACATACGGTAGTACTGTAGTGCCAGTGAGCAACTAAGCATCAGTATATTATGAATCTGTGCCAAGAGCTTGGTGATAATGCTCTATCCAAAGTATATTGCGAATCTATGATTATAAAAGAAAGAAGATTGAACAAGAAGTTTTCTGTTAGTTAACTTGAAAAAGCTACCGAAATCAATCCTTTTAAAAAAGAATCAATGAGACTAACGCGGGGTAGCCGAATGGTGGACCCGGGACCCCAGCTGTCGCTACTAGGCAGGAGGTAGCCATGGCAGTGGCACAGGCATTTGTGGAATGGAACGAGGGCGTCAACATCGTAATTTTAAATTTGTAATTTCAAAAAGCACTCGCCCAAACGCACAGTCACACGGCTTCATTTTCGCGACTCTGTATCCGCCTTTGTTAATAACGCTCATCGCTCTGAGAAACTTCCCTCCTTTCCATTTGCCTTCTGCTACGGAGCCTGCGTTATCACTTTCACTTTGTGCTTCTTGTCAACTCCCGCTATGTCGCCGTCCGCCCACGGGTCCTCCGAAGCTGACGGCTTCTGCTCGGGCTGTTTCGATGCGAATAATATTTCTCACAATGACGAAGCTAGATCTTTTCATGTGAATTGCAAACATTGTGGAAAATCTGGTTCTTCTCCGTCGTCCTCGGGGTATTCAGACTTGTTTTGTCATCACATGGTTACATTGAAGGAATGGAAGAAGCTCGGGAGAATTCTTATCGCGTCTGCTAAGGGCTTCACGATTGGAGCTGGTCTTAAGGGTGGTCTTGCTCTTTTCTCGATCCTAGCTCGATTGAAGCAAAGAAAGCCGCTCAATTCTCTGAGGTAGTACTCGTGAAATATAAGATACTCGAATATCGGTTTGCAGAATTCGCGCGGCCTGTCTATTAACCATTCCATTCTCTCATTCATGAACATGTTTGTTTCTCATTCCCTGATTTAGGAAGGAGGCTCTGAAAACAAACAGTGAAGCAATTGTTACGGCTGTAAAGGAATCATTGAGTTACGGTCTTTTTCTTGGAACCTTTGCGGGAACATTCGTGTCCATGGAGGAGCTTATAGGTGCTTTGGGTGGTCACCGCAGGCACGTTCTCTCGTGGACAATCAATTTTGTTTAGTGGTTAACATTTACGCTTTATGAGGTTGATCAACTGTTTGTGAGAGATTTTGATTCGTATTGTTCCTCCTAGCTCAGGACAGCAAGATGGAGATCTTTGGTGGCAGGGGCGATTGCTGGCCCATCCATTCTTCTGACTGGCTTTAAAACACAGCATACAAGCTTGGCCATTTACATATTTATGCGTGCTGCTGTCTTGGCATCTCGATGTGGGATTAAGAGCAAACGATTTGGGGGAATTTGTAAACCTCTCACATGGAAGCACGGTGACATTTTCCTTATGTGTCTCTCCTCGTCACAAATATTGTACGTGCCCTTTCTTTATATGGATAAGTTTAACATACTAGCGTGGCTGTTCATGTGTGCTTTATCATTTCCTCTTTTTTCTCTCTGATGAGTAATCTTATCTTTCATTGGATGAGCTGGTAGTCGAAAGTTGATACTTGATCTCACATGTGATTTCCGCTTCACTAATGAACTGCGCTGCATTCTTCATTATAAAATTACTCATATACTTCAAGGTAAAATCAAGTCCAGTCAGGTAAAATGCTTGAATGAGATGTCAAGTGACTGAGCTAGTTTATTACCTGGATCTTTAATCGTGGTTGTATTCCAACTTTGCAGCATATAAATGACTGTGTTATCTACTTTTCAGGACTACAAGCTTATTAAAAATGATCTTGTGAGATTAATTTTGTCTTGATTTTATTTAGTAGAATTTTTAACTAACGCTTATGTTCAAGTAAATAAAGATGTTTGTCATCTGTGCATGGTTGTGAATGTGATGACAGCCACATGGGTACTCCCTTACAGTTCTTTCTGGGCAAAAACATATGGGAAACGCTTTATTTTCTGCCCTAATGCGCCTCTTTCTTGTTTTTTTTTTAATCATGTTTGTACAAAAATGATTGACAGAAGTAGGAAAATGTTTTGGCAATTTGTTGTAGGTCTGCTTACATATTAAAGCAAGAGAGTCTGCCTTCTTCATACAAGTCATTTCTCAATAAACATGGTGGTAAGGATCTTGTTATCTTACAAGGTGTGAAAGATATTGCCAGTGGCATGCCTTTTACTGATTTGGAAGCAATACAAAGATACTACAAGGCCAAGGGTGTCGATGTGCAACTAGATCCAAATATGGAAGTTCCTTGCTCGGTATGGGAATGATATCCATTTCTTTATTTCTTTATAGATTTTTTTTTTTTTTTGGTCGGGGGGGTGGTTTTTGGGGACAAAATGTAAAAGACAGGACATAGTTATCACATGTTCCATGGTTAACAAATTTGTACTATCAAAACTAGAAACTGGAAACCATTTGATTTAGCATCTAGATGCCAATTTTGGCTTGGAAATATCATTATTTCCGTAGTAATTAAAGTTCATCTTATATAATGAGGAAAACATAAATTCTTCATCACGATCAGGCCCATTAGACTCAAAAGTCCTATGGTAACTGTTAAGTATTTGATGAGGAATTACTTGAAGGCTAAATATTTTTTTGTAATTTTCTTTAATGGACTCTCTCTCATAGAGGCGTATTTTTTTTTTTTTCTCTCTTTACATGTGAAGCAGTATCGTAGTTTTACATTGACTAGTGTCTTGCAGATTATTCATGAAAACCAGTCATGTGGTGGACATTTTCTTTCCTTTCTCCTTGAAGCTTACAAGAGAGCATTATCTGTCTATCTTCCAGTTTATCTGATCCCTGCACTCTTAGTTCACAGACAAGGACTTGTGAAGAGGTGATCGACTAATCTAATATCCGCTTTCTCCTTTGCAAACATATTGAGAAATGAGCCCGTGTTTTATATTAATATAATTTCTCCGAATGAAAGGATTCCCAAGATGCATGCAGTCCTTCAGCAATGTGGAAGGATTGCATTTCTATAATGTGTTTTGGTCTTTAATTATGGCATGTTATGTGAGACGACAATTCTTCGGCCTTAGTGCTCAACATCAACATTCTTCTACGCAGGCCTCATACAATATTAGCCAAGGGTCTTGTTGGCACGGCGAGATCAAGCTTATTTCTGTCTGTTTATTGCTCATCTGCCTGGTCAGCATCTTCTTGCATACTTAGTGCCCATCACCTTGTTCCTAGTTGTCTTATTGCTAATTTGGCAATGGTTTTAAATTTAGCGTTCTTTCACTGTTCAAAATTTCCAACCATGCTGGTGCGTTATGCTGTGCGGTGTCCATACATAACTCCATAGAACATGTATTGGCCAAACACGCAAACCAACATTTCAATTATGCGAATTCTGGTCAAATACAAAAATTACTAGAATCAAGGATAGCAATATAAATGTCTATAATTCTTGTAATCTTTATGACAGTCGCGATCTTGCATGTCTAAAGATACACGATAGTTAAACCAAATATATGCATAGTAATACAATACTGAATTATAGAAGCATCTATTTTTATTAAAAATTTGATAGAAAAGATGGACAAACACTATCCACATTTCTCTTTATTGCTAAACATTGGCTTAAAGATTGAAGACTTGTCTTGTGGGACACAAAAGAAATGCATGGTTCCAAGTGCTTGCTTTCAATTGGCTCTATCATTGTCGATTTTATGACGTGACTTTTGTTGAAACTATATTATATGTATGATATGGATGCCTTTATTGTTCATCAGGATGTGGACGTGCTTGCTTTTCAGAATCTTCAGAAGATGCAACATTCCAATGGTGTTCGTGGGAACGGTACATTGCTTCCTGAGTCTTTATATTCTTATCTGTTTGGCTGGGGTATTTTAATTTGTATGATCTGCTTCAACTTGTGCTGTCGAAATTATGTTGCGGGGAAAGTCTTCTATATGACATCGTTGATTATTGCAAAAAGTTGCATTTTGGGCAGTTTCCCGCTGGCCTTGCATTGGGTATTGAGAAGAAAAGCAGACGAATGGAGATTTCATTATACTGCTTTGCGCGTGCAATCGAGAGCTTTCTCGCATGCTTGGATGATGTAGGATATTTATCGCAGTCAATAAAGATCAGGAGAGCTGATATTCTGGTTTTCAGCTTGTCAACAGCCATCATAATGCACTGCTATGCACAGGAGAGGGAAGTATTTAGATCCAAATATTTGAATGTTCTTGACTGGGTGTTCGGTATACCTCCTCCGCCATGTGAAACTCCACGCTGTAAAGGTGGATAGAAAACAAACAAATGCTTGCCCAAAAGGCAATTTTATTTGCCACTTGCTGCTGAAATCCAAGGGAAAACGATGCCTGAATTCTTGGCTACGAGGATGGCATCGAATTCAATCAGCCGTTCACTTAACACGAACTAGCATTTTTTACCGAATGCTTGTGGCTTCCGTGGAGACTGCGTAGTGTTTTTTTTTCCATTCGAGGAAGCATGTAGTACTACGTTTTCTCACGGTTTTTGTTGATGTCATACCCCGTCCGTGTTCGTGTGGATGTAGGCTAAATTTTGAAAACAGTGATGATGGGCGTGCAAAAGCCCGAGCCTGTTGATACTTAGTTTGGTAGGGCATTTTATTCATTTAGAGACTTTTTTTTTTTAGAGCCAAGTTAAAAAAAAATGAAAGATTTTTGCATCCCTGACCTTTATAAGTCATTTAAAAACAGGTTTAAGCTATTTTTTTTCACACGTGATTGAAATTGTTATTAAAATTACAAGGTTAAAATTGTTTCGCTTTTTTTCAAGTGTTTGAACTAGTATATGAAAATCGTCCGATTTGTTAGATCGTGCTACCATAATTAAAAAGTTAAATGAAAAATACGTGTACTTTTGCGCCTAACATTGAAACGTGATCAATTTAGAATATGGCCTCATTGATAATTCTAGTGCAGGCTAATGTGATTTGATTTATAATATTGACAAATATTGGAGAAACAATATATTCTTTCCAGTATTATAAAGGACTTTTTTAAATATCATGTTAAAAAATCTAAAACATTTTTAGTTTTTTAAATTATATTTATTTTTTTAAAATGTTTAATTAGAAATATAATTAATAAGATTTTTAATTTAAATAAATTTGTAATTTTAAATGTTATTAATTATTTGATTTAAAAAATGTTATCAATTACAATTTTGGAAGAATTATTGTAGAAAGATTATAATTGTTAAGAAATTTCAGGAAATATAAAAATAAGTTTAAAGTGAACTTGATAAATAAATTTTGATATATATTTATTAAAATGCTTTTATTAAAAAAAAGAATCACATCAAACTCCGCCTATATTTATAGCCGGTCCTAAGCGCGGGTAAAGGAGGAGGGTTGTGTTAGGCCATCAACAGCCAATGTAAAACTTTGTTGAACCTATCATGAACATGAACAATAGACGTTATAATGTTAATGTTAGGTCGTTGCCCGTAAGTAACGCGCTGCATGGCTCGAGTACAATGATAAGTGAGTTAGAGCCGCTGCATTGGCACCTGGATGTAGTGTTAAATGAGCAAGGGCTACCGCATCATTCTGGACGCACGCGGCTAAAGAAGTTAGTCCATAAGAGCAAAATTAGATTTGGTACTTGAAATGTTGGGATATTAAATTGTAAATTTGTAGAGGTTGTAGGGGTTATGATTTAAAGAAAAATCAATATCCTTTGCCTGCAAGAAACAAAATGGCGTGGAGAAGAAGCTAAGGATATTCAAGGTTTCAAACTTTTATATACATGAAAAGTAAGTGCACGCAATGGAGTAGGCATCATTATAGATAAAGAGTGGAAGAAGAACGTTGTAGAAGTTAGCAGAATTGGAGACAGAATTATTTCCTTAAAAATGATAATTGAACGTGAGACTGTTAATATTGTTAGCACTTATGCGCCGCAAGTCGGGACAGAAGCCAGTCTTAAGGAATTATTTTGGGAGGATCTAGAGGGGTTGATTCAAAACATACCACAGAGTGAAAAGATTTTTATTGGAGAAGACTTTAATGGGCATGTCGGGAGGGAAGCTGGTCAGTATGCGAGGGTGCATGGTGGTTTTGGTTTTGGAGAGCTAAATAATGAAGGAAAAACTCTTCTTGATTTCTCATTAGCGTATGATTTTAAGATTGCCAACACTTGTTTCAAGAAGAGAGATGAGCATCTCATCACTTACAAAAGTGAAGCCTCAAGGTCACAGATTGATTTTCTTTTGGTTAGGAACACAAATAGAAGACTTTGTAAAAATTGCAAGGTGATTCCCGGAGATGTTGTAACGACACAACATAAGGTCCTAATCCTTGATGTGTGTATTATGAGTAAAATTCAAAAATGTCGACAAGTAGTAGCACCAAGGATTAAGTGATGGCAATTAAAAGGTGAGAAGCAAGATATTTTCAAGCGAAATCTTTTGGATAAAGGAATTTGAGAATCTCAGGAAAGTGCTAACATCATATGGGAGGATATGGCTAAAAAGATACGGGAGGTTGCAAAAGTAGTTTTGGGAGAATCAAAAGGTTCTGGTCCGAAAGATAAGGAGTCTTGATGGTGGAATAATAGTGTACAGGACAAAATCAAGTATAAGAAGAACTGTTTTAAAGCCATATATTTGTGTAACAATGAGAAAAATTGTGAGAGGTACCGTATGGGTAAGAAGGAAATTAAGAGAGCTGTGGGTAAAGCTCATTCTAAAGCTTTTGAAGAATTTTATAAGAGCCTTGAGACGAAGGAAGAAGAGCGAAATATTTATAAGATTGCCAAGAGTAGGGAAAGAAAATCAAGAGATCTAGAACAGATAAGGTGTATTAAGGATGAAGAGGGAAGAATTTTAATTACAGATGATGAAATTAAAAATAGATGGGAGACTTACTTTTCTAAACTTTTCAATGATGGAGAGGGTTCATCTAGTAACTTGGAGGATTTAGTAACTGGTGAAGGAGAACAAATTTGTCATTCTATCGAATAATACGTGATAAGAAAGTAAAGGAAGCTCTTAAGAAAATGGCAAATGGTAGAGCCAACGGACCTGATTGTATATCTATCGAAGCGTAGAAATGTTTAGGTGAAGAAGGGGTGAGATGGTTAACTAAGTCATTTAATGTGTTTTACGGTCCAAGAAAATGTCTGATGAGTGGAGGAGAAGTACATTAATTCCTATTTATAAAAATAAAGGAGATATTTAGAATTGTACTAACTATAGAGGGATTAAACTCATGAGCCACACAATGAAATTGTGAGAAAAAGTAATTGAGCACAGGTTGAGATTGGAGACAAGTATTTTTGAGAATCAATTTGATTTTATACCAGGTAGATCAACTACAGAGGCAATTTATCTACTAAGGGGATTAATGGAAAAGTATCGTTGTAAAGATAAAGATCTACACATGGTTTTTATTGATTTGGAAAAAGCTTATGACCGTATACTAAGAGAAGTGCTTTGAAAAGCGTTGGAAAAAAAGGGAGTACGAATTGCTTATATTAAAGCCATACAAGATATGTATGAGAGGGTAAAAACTAGTATAAGAACGCCTAGTGGTCAAACAAAGAATTTTCCTATAAAGATTGGACTACATCAGGGATCATCTCTGAGTTCTTATTTGTTCAACTTGATTTTAAATGTTTTGACGGAACATATTCAAGGGGAAATTTCGAAATGTATGCTCTTCACGGATGATATAGTTCTTATAGCAGAGACAAGAGAAGAGGTTAATTACAAACTTGAGTTATGGAGGAGGACATTGAAGTCGAAAGGTTTTCGTCTGAGTAGAAGTAAAACGAAATATTTATATTGTAAATTTGGTAAAGGACTATTTGACAATAATTTGAAAGTGAAATTGGGAGATCAAATTATACCTCAAGTGAAAAAGTTTAGATATTTGGGAGCTATTATTCAAAATGATGGCGAAATCAATGGAAATATTTCACATAGAATTCAAGTTGGGTGGTTTAATTGGAGAAAAGTTAAAGGAGTTATTTGCGACTGTAAGGTGCCTAATAAACTTAAAGCAAAGTTTTATCGCACTGCTATCAGACCGGCAATGTTATATAGTAGTGAATGCTGAGCTCTAACGGGACAGCAAGAGCATAAAGTTAGAGTAGCAGAGATGAGAATGTTACGATGGATGTGCGGACATACACGTAAAGATAAAATTTGAAATGAGCACGTACGTGAAAAAGTGAGGGTGACACCTATTGAGAAAAAAATGGTAGAAAATCGATTGAGATGGTTTGGACATGTACAAAGAAGACCAAGGGAGGCACCAGTGAGAAGAGTGGAACATATAACTTTGAGTCCGATTAAGAGAGGTAGAGGAAGGCTTAAGAGAACACTCTTGAAAGTTGTTGAATGCAATCTCTTAATTAATAATATTCCTAAAAGCTTAATAAATGATAGAGCACAATGGTGTCTTGCAATCTATGCAGCTAACCCTAATTAGTGAAATAAAGGCTTGTTGTTGTTGTTGTATTATTGAAATAAAAATATAATTTATTTATTTATTTTTGAATGAAATTTATCGCTAATTCTTACTTGTAATTAATTTCTTTAAAGCGACTAGATGTAATTCTCTCAATTAAAAAACGTGTTCAACCCTCCTCTTTATCCTTCTTCCTCAACAATGACCACCCCTCCGCGCAACAGTTCCGGAGCTCATCTTTCTCTTCACCCTCCATTATCATCTTCCTTCCCACAATCCCCCCACCGTTTCCGCACCCACCACAACTTTCTCTCCTGTGCTTTCTACGGTGCCGACACCTCTAGAATAAAAAAAGCCAAGAAAATTGTGAATTCCACTCCGTCGACCTTGCCCTGGTCCACTACTGCTGTCCGTGCCATCAAAGTTCCTTCCTTATTTCTTGTGTTGCGGCTCGAATCTGTGGTCCATTTAATCTGAATCAAGAAAGAGGTGATTTTGACTTTTCTCCCTTTCTCCTCGTGTTCGTCCCACTCATGCAATAATGGTAGAAATGGATATCCAGATTCGGTTTTTGTGTTGGAAAGAAGAGGACAATTGATGGTGAAGAGGAAGATGGGCACTGGAACTGTTGCACCTGAGAGAAGGTTATTATTGTTATAGAGGAAGGCCGATGCCTTTTTTTTTTTTTAAGACATTTTAGTAAATGGCGGCGTAGGGTAGAATATTGGAGAGAGCATTGGCAAAGAGAACGCGCAGTGGAGGGCGTAGAGTGTGTACTAAATTTAGGGCAGTGCCTGCTTGCAGGCGTACATGGACATGGATGAAAGCTATACATATCATATGGTCATCATTACCCTCGATGAACAGATCAACGCACTCGTTGAAATCGCGCGGCCGGCGAGAAGGAAGCAGGAGTCATGAGGAGTCGGAAACATAGCCCCACCACCTGTAGATCGCATATCCATAAATGGCGGCGTAGGCAGTCACCCTGAGTGGAGAACTGGCAAACCTGGGAGCAAGAGAAGTAAGAGGAGAGATGAGAAACAAGTAGAGCGGCGGAAAAGAGAGGGAAGAAAGGAAGAAGAGAGCCGACCTGAGAAAAGGAGAAGCATGGGGATGGGGGAGAAGAGCGGCTCTTTCGCGGGCGGTGACAGGGTGGGGCCAGCGAGAGAAATGGCGATTGAAGTAGTCCCAGTCGGGGAGGAGGACGCCGGCAATGCCGAGAACGCCGAGGATATAGGTAAGCAGCATCTTGAGAGCAGAGTGAGTGGAGAGGCCAACCACCGCTATCACGGCTGCCAGCCACAGAAGACAGGTCTTGAGGGCGGCGTCGGTGGCCATTCACTCCCCTCGATTACCATTCACCGCCACGCTTGGGCTTGGCTGACCCCTACCCCCTTAACAATAAATAAATCTCATTCCCAACCGCCACTCGCCACTCGCCGCCTCATAAATAAATGCCTTCACCGTCACGCTCACACCTGTCCTTTCCCCACTTTCACTTTTCTTTTTGGGCTTCCATCGCCTCTACTGTGCCCCCATTTTCTCCTTCCTTCCAACTAAAGCCGAAGACAAAGGTCAGATATGAAGGATCGGACTTCAAAATTTTGTTTAAATAAAGATTTAAATTTTAAAAATAAATTTTTTTAAAGTAATTGAGCTTAAGAGTTTAGCCTGACAAACCTTATAAAAATAATTCGAGTTCGGACAACCCTTCAAGTCCTGTTATATTATTATTATTATTTTTGTGTAATACGTATTTAAAATTTATTTTAATTTATTATATTATTATTAATTTTAATTTATTTTAAAATTAATTTAATATAATTTTTTAATAAATATTAGTGTATAGTATAAAATTTATAATATTTTTTTATAATTATTATGTTTGTGTATTTATAAAAAATAAACTATTTTTTATTTAAGATTTAAATTTTATTACTAGACTTCTAAATGTGTATTGTTTAATTTCTAAAAAAATTATGAGAATTTTAATTTTTTTAATTTTAAAATATTTTAATTAATTTATAATGTTTAATTTTATTTTAATTATTTATTTTTTAAAAAGGACTTGCGGCTCCAACCCTGAGTCCTTCACATAAAGATTAGACTTGAGAAATAAAATTTAAAATGAAAAATCAAGTTTAAAGGCCAAGCCTATAAGGATCAGGCCCTTAAAAGTTGAGTCCTTACGTATTTCTAGCTCTACTTCCAACCCCATCCCTTCTTCATCCCTTTACTTTGCTATCATAATTTGCTTATCACACATGATTTTATTTTTTTTAGTATGAAATAATTATTAATAAAATTTATTTTAAAATTATCTCTCATTATTTTATTTCTTTCTCTTTTATTAAATAAATGTAACTTTAAAAGTTTGTATTTTCCAAGTGTATCTGATTGATTCCATTGTATTCACAATTTTTGTTTAAAATACTGTTCTACAAGATGAGACCAAACGAATATTATATATAACATAACCCTACCTTCTTAATTACTCTCTATTCGTCAAAGTATAAGATATTTTCGATCATGTTCACAAGAGTTAAGAAAAGTAATTAAAAGTAGGTTGCATCCTTAAATGGTAAACATTATCATTACTTTCTAAGACTATCTTTCAATTAAAATTAATATATCTTAATCACCTTTAAATGGATAAATTAGTGTAACGAACAGGAAGCAATTGCTTGAAAACCTGTATTTAAACAATCAAACAATCTTCCTCAAGTGCATAAGTCTACAGGCTTCTTATATTAGAGATGTCACAAAACATTAAGTCTCTGCTCCTATACTTAAGATTGATCTTTTTTTTAAACTTCAAATGGTGTAAACACACACATGTTCCTGTTATAGCTTGGATGGTCTCATTTTAGAACCTAGGCGTGTGAGTAAAATCAGCTTTTAACTCATAAAATTTAATTTTAACACTACTTGTTATAAATGGAGAATGACTACCCATAAATATTAAATCTGTTCACACTTAGATAATTTAATAATTTATTATCATAACTTCAAACTCATCACATACAAGACACCACAAATGCCAAGTTCCTACTCATACAATCAAGGTCTGTCTCATTTTTTAATTTCAAATGATATGTCAATCATGCACAAGTCTTTTTTGCAGTCGGTGATAATCCCATGTTGGGTTTCAAATGTGTGTCCAATATGGATTTTCAAATTCCAAACAAAACATATTTTTAATATCATTTGTTAAGAATGATAAGCGATTACCTAAAAACCTCACGTCCAATCACACTTAGATAATCATAATTAGCTATTAAATAAAATATAAACTACAGAATAAAAAATGATAATATTATATATTAGGTGGTGCTATATATGAATATAAGTCACTTGATGCCATGCAAACTGACGATAAAGAGACATGAGAGGGGATCAACTGGCATTAGTCATTCAAATGAAATAAGTGATCGCAAGGCAATCTAGCAGCATTATTGCTTATTGATAAATCATAAATTTTATATATTTTATCTCATATTTTTCATGTATTTTAGATTAATTTAAGTTTATCAAATATTATTTAAATTATTAGTTAATTTTAAAAAATAATATATTTTGGAATTAATTATAGAAATTTTAGACTTGAATTGTGAATATTTTATTTTTTTTTTCATTTTTAATGTGGTTTAATTTTATCAATCTTTAATTGAGCTAAATTTGAAGCATCATTCATTATTTGAGATTTTGACCATTTTATGAAAAATTATAATTGTTAAAAAAGGTAATTTGAAAATATTTTGAGGCATCAGATTTATTTTTAATATAATCTATACCAATAGGTTCTAGTTGACTTTTTAGGTTATGAAAACACAATTGATAAAATATAGTGGTAAAGATTAATTTTTGAATTTCAATAAACATTCAATGGTCAAAGCTTTAAAAAATAAAGAAGGAATTTTTAAGATTCATTAAAAGTATGATGAATATTTTTAACTTAGGACAATAAGAGAATTTTTACTCTCTTTTTTTTCTTTTTTTATTGACTCATTTTAAATTCAATGATTCAATTTTTTTTTTAAACTCTCCGCCCTCTTTTTTAACTATTAAATTATTATTATTTTTAAATTCCCTCTCCTCCTCTTATCATTACACAACCGCCACCTCCAGGGAGCTCTGGGTTTTTCCCCCCTTTCGACCATCACCATCATCCACAGCGTTTCCCTTCATCCACGACTGCATCATCCATCCATCATCCATCATCTCTCACCTCACCACCTCCATAATTAGCCACGCACACATGATTATCTTCCTTCCAATTTTGTAATTCATTCCAAAATCTCATCTCTCTTGCTTCTCCACAGATTTGACGCAAATATTATCATCCTATTTTCCTTTCCATTTCACGTATCAACCCCACCTCTTCATCACCCATCAACTACTCTCCATATCCATTAATTATTTACCATGGCCGTGGATTATGTGGTCAAAGGAGGAAGAACATTATTTATGAAAGCTTGAACTAGCTTAAAAGACAACTTAAAATGAGCATAAAGGAAGCTGAAACCTAAAATTTATATTTGAAAATAATTGGGGAGTAGTTTTTCATTTATCTTTTAATTCAAGAGTTTGAAATTATTTAATTTTCAATAATTTTAAGTTGTATTGCTTGAGTACAATTTAATTTTAAGTTATAAATATTTTAAATCTTAGATTTGATTGATATTTGGATTGATTTTATATTTAATGAATTTCTAAAATTTATGTTTATATACCCTTGCTTTTCCAATTAAATTAATGATTAAGTTCTCATTGTTGATTTGATTGTCATTGTGGTGTTCCTTTTATCTCTTGATTATTCAATTGAGTTAGTAATTTGTCTAATTATTCAATTAGATAATTTAAACATATTTTTTAGAGTTATTGTGAATCAATCATTATTAGTTTTAATAGATCTAATTTGCCTAATTCATAATTGTAGTATTTGGTTCATTATGAGTTTTTTAATAAAATTAAATGTTAGGCTTTGCACTTGTGGGTTTTCTTTGCTTTAATTGGGTAATTGAATTTATTAATTTCACTCTCCTATCATTTTTCTTTGGTTTAACTAATTGATTTGAGTTAGAAAAGTTAATTCCATGTGGAATCCTAAGTTGTTCCCTTTACTACATTTGAATCAAACTTTTTTTAATTGTTTGTTAATTTATCCTTTTTGTCAATTAATTCATTTCTTTAGTTTACATTTTATTTTTCTTGACACAAATCCCCCCAATCATAATTTAGAACTCATTCATTGTATAATAGAATTTAGGTGTTAGACATTAACATTAGCATCCATTTAGGTGATTTTAGTGGTATAAATTACATTTTCTCATTTATATTTTAGTATAAAAATCTAGCATTTAATTTTAATTTTTTTAGTAATTAAATATCTAGAATCAACTTAAAATAACCCCTAAATTACTCCTTGGAAAGAATGACCAAAGGTTGGCCTATGATATATTAAATCAATTTTAGTTTAATTGAGTATTGACATGACTAAGGCAATCCATCAATTTTTAACAACTATAATTTTTCACAAAATAGTCACTCATAATTAGAGGTGTTTAACCTTGTACATATCTTAGTTGGTGTCCAATTTGGTTTCTATCGTGTCAAGATGAGTCATTCCTAGCTCAAAAAAATTAGGAGAGGACTTCATGGGATGAGGAGGACAAAAAAGAGTTCAGGATAAGACACGATGTTATCTATGGGACGTACCATCCCTTATATTATACATATTTTTATTAAAAAGTTGGCATTAATTATATTAATATAATTTATTTTTATATTAATAATATTAATATACTTAATTTCAATTGTGCAAGATTTTATTTATTCTACCTTGAACAAGTAATTAGTGGGGATTCGTTCAAACCTCCATAGGCTTTTGATGCCTTTATTTTTATTTTTTATTTTTTGTCATTGTTATGTTTCCTTCTTATAAAAAAATTATAATTAATATAAGAGTAGATTATATTAATTATAATTTTAATATTTGCAATCCTTATTCAAAATTAAAAGTTATTCATACTAATAATTTTAATGATACAGAGCAAACAATATAAAGTAATCTCTTTTTTACAATATATTAAATTATAGATTTATAGTTGTGATTAATGTAACTTAATAATTAACTTTAAGTCATTGTAACTTATATATTCATGTTATTTTGATTTTAAACTTAGCAAGTTATATGATTTAATATTTTAATAAATATTGTTATCCAGATTTCTGTCCATGTTGTTGGCTTTCGCAAGACATCCCTAATGAGATCAAGATGGGTGGAGAGAAATGAGGAAGATAAATCTTTATTAAAATATGAAATCAAAATATAAATCTAGAAATTAATATAACAGTGGGAATGTTGCTGGGCTGTTAGAGTTGAGAATTACTACTTGGGATTCTCATGCCAAGTTCAACATTAATATTGTCAAGATGAGATATGATATAAGATAGTTGTAATGATATGTAACCAATAGAAGAAGTGTATGATGGGAAGGAGGAGGATGTAGATTTATCAAGAAAGGCAGCAGAACGGGTTGAGTACCATTTTCAAACTGAACAGCTCTAATACCATAACCCACTATACCTAAACACGAGGGTCATTGAACAAAACAAATAATAACTTGAATAATAAATTAAATAGAAAATCTGTAAAATAACTTAAAATTAATATTTATTCCTAACGTTTCTCTAACTCCCTAAATCTTCCTACTATCTCACACTATTTAGTATTCTATTAGTCTCAATCCTGTATTGATTTTTAATATGACGAAATAATTTTAATAACGGGACGGGACGGGACACATGACAAGGTTGTCTCAAATCCAACCTTCCTATGAACACCCCTACCCATGATGAAAGACATATGGATGATTTTACTTGTTTTGCCAAGGTTTTTCTACAAAAAAAAAAATGACTCCATTTCAAAATCCCCTCCTTTTTTTTTTGCATTGAAGCATTTCTACTGTGTCAAAAAAAAAATCAGGTTATATTGAAATTATCACATGTTGGTCCTCTTCTTGAAACCATCAATACATCTGAATCACTTTTAGGTCTTGTATGGTTACTAAAAAGGAATGGAATGGATTGAAAAAATTAAAACAAAAATGAGCTAAATGACCATTTTTCCTTATAGGAAATACCATAAAGCTCATTAATATATACTACAAATATGAAAATTAACACACCTTCAAAAATCTCATGAATTATAATTTCCAACCTTGTAAACTAATTACCTTTCTCAATTGTGAATGTGGTACATCTATTTCTTTTTATCATCTCATTTTTATCTTTTATTTTTTCAATCCATTTTATTTCAATCCTTTTTAGTAACCAAATAGGACCTTAGGGTACAATATTGGGATATGTAAGATGTTTGTGATGTAATGTTACATTGGCTATTGCATGTTCAGGGTATGTGATATCACAATTAAGAGGATTTAAGCGATTCTTACAATAGTCCTAATGGTTCCCGGGCAACTCTATTGACATGCCCAAAGTAAATGGGCAACTAGCAGTTTCTCGTGCATTTAAAGATAAGAACCTCAAGTGACATTTACACTTAGACCCCAATATACAGACAACAAATATAGATGTAAACATCAATATTCTAATTCTCAGAAGTGATAGTTCTCGCATTTCAAGGAATCTTTCCCCTTTCCCTTTGCATATGATAAACCAGGTAATGCAAAATCAAGCAGTAGACATTGCTGAAAAGATTAAAAAAAACCTATTGAAAGCAGCTAAGCAATTAGTCGTAGAAATACTAAAAAGAGACACTACCACAAAAAGAAGAAAAAAAAAAGAAGAAGACTATAAAACTGTTCAGCAAATACAAAAAGAGATGTCACAAGACATGACAGAGATACAGAGTCTCAAAAAGATGAAAGAACTTAACTTCTAATCAAATGCGGGGAACCTGAGCTCTTACCACAATTTACCCAAATGTGAGAATACGAAATGAAAAAAATTAATTTAGATACAGGGAAGCAGAGATACATTAATTAAAGAAAAAGGTAGCTGGTATGCTAGCCATACCACAAAAAAATAAAGACTAAAACTTCATGATAAAAAAAATAAAATAAAATAAAATAGCAGACATGGAGTCTGAAGATTTGACCGGTAGCTTGTTGATGTTAGTGATGATTCTTGTTGAGAGAATGCTCTTTTATTTATAGATGATCCTGACTTGGTGTCCAAACTCTATGATCATCACTTTTTTTAAATCTAGGAAGCATTTTTTTATTGTAGCTACTCATCATGGGTGGAGGGTAGAAATAATGGCCTAGGTTTGGTCTTGACTTAATGACTAAAGCTTCATAAATATTTTTTTAATTATTTTAATGCTAATTAAGTTGAGTTGAGCCTGAGCCTCCAAATTTACAATTTGAATACAAACAATAACAATTTATTTTGGCGCTATATATTCTTTGATCTAATATATAATAATTGTTAACCATTGTATAGCTGGCAACTTTACAATAGTTATTTGAAAATAACCATGGTATATATAAGCATTTTTTTTAAATAAGGGTTGCATTTTTAGCAGCACATCTATTTTTTTTTTCTTTTTTCTCTTCAATTTTTGAGTGAAGTAGAGTGAAAAAAATAGAAAAAGCAAAGACTAGAGTAGTAGAGATTCTAGATTTGAAATTAACAATAGTTGATGCTAAGGTTTTTCATTTAACAATGCAAATGCAAAATAAAAAAATAAAACTATAGATCTAGAAAATAAAAAAAGCATCCTTAACAAAAAGACGAACTCAAATTAATACCACACAAATATGAAAAACCATATATTTAAAATAAAAAAAATAAAAATCATGGTTGCAATTTTAGAACACCAACCTTCCATTTAACAATATATAATCAAGGACAATGATGAGGTTAGTTGAGGGAAACTGGCGCTAGTGAAATGAAGTACCACATAGACTAGACGATAGAGCACAACACCATCTATGCAAGGAATGTACATCACGTCGAAGGCTATGGCTAGAGTTAATCGTGTGAGTGTTAAAAGATGAAAACTTAAAATTTAGAGTAAGAGAGATGCTTGAATAACAGATAAGGTTAAGTGTAAAGTGGAGGGGTGAGGTTGGTGAAAGAGAGAGAGAGTTGAATGTCATGAAGGTAGAGTGTAAGGGATGAATTTAAATTTAGAAAATGTGAGAGAGAGAGAGAGAGAGAGAGAGAGAGAGAGAGAGAGTATGTGTGCCATTGGATTAAAAAAAAAAACCAATGGTTCAAAGATAATGACATAATCAATCCATATGTTATATATAATGTATGGATTTTAAAAGTTTTTAGAGTTAGAAAACTATATAATAGTTTTTTTAAATAACTGTTGTATAGTCATTAATTATATAACAATCCTAAAAACTATATAAGTATTCTTTATAAATAACTGTTATATAATCAAGACTACCTGCTATATAATCTTTGAGAAAAAAAATTTAAAAAAAGAGAGACTATATAATAGTTTTTTTTTTAAATAATTACTATATAGTCTTGAAAAAATTTTAAAGAGAAAGACTATATAACAGTCATTTCGAATAATTGCTATATAATTTTTTTTTTTAACCTTGCCTCAATTATATGACAGTTTCTTTAATAATCACTATATAAAAAGGGCTATATATAGCTTCTTTGTTTTTTTTTTTAGTAGTGACACCGTGGCGATGATATATCTTGCATTGTGGTTAGACTAAGACGACATTTGTTGAAGCACGTTTCTTGTGGAGTGTAATACATAGCAACAAGCCAACAATAAGGGTATCCATGCTGCATGTCAACTTTCGGATTGGAGCGTACGACATATAATATATGCTTGCTTGATTGAACCTTGTCAGGATTCTTCGGAATAGGTAATTTGCCAAAGTGAATGGTATAAGGGTACGAAGTTGTAACATTACCTCTTTCATCAAGTTTTTGAGAATGTATACTGTCTTCTATTTTGTACAAGTGACCAGAGCCTATGTTTACACGAATACTTTGCTTGAAGATTTGCAATTTCCTTGATAGAGAATATAGATTGGTTGTGTGAGTGTATGCTAGTGTGTTTGCGCGCATGTCTCCTATTTTGCAATTCCAAACGGAAATTGGCTGCTTTTATTTGTCATATCTAAGGCAGATTAGTTTTATTGTTGGTAGAGTATACTACGCCTTATGTCCTACCGAAATAGCTGTTGTAGAGGATAGTGCTGTAAGTTCAGGGCCTCGGTTGCCGGTTAAATTTGCGCACCCCGGAGGCAAACGTTCTTTAAAAAAATAAATAAATTATAATCGCTTCTAATTTCCAAAACATTTCTCAATTTCTCAATGAGAGGTGAAGAAGTCCTTCTCCTACCTGACAGTGACTAGCTAGGCCTCGCGGGAATACCAACTGCAAAAGGGTTCCCGGTGGCGTCGTAGTAGCATTGTTCTGGAAGATGAAGTGACTATATACGCAATTCAAGTGTCTCGGCTTTTGTCTTCTGGAATCATCGCTCAAGAGAACGAGGAATTTTGGGGTCAGACAAGAAGAGAAGAGTCAAACAGAAACTGGATTGGTCTAGAAATGCGTGGGAAATGCTGGTTTGACAATTTGGTAAGAAACACCCATTCATCCGAACGCCAATGGCCAACCTACTTTCGCCACACAAGCCTCAAGTCTCGGGCATTACAAGGCGAGGAGGATGGTGGATGAAAGCGCATCTAACATGATAAAAATGCCACATGTTCGGGTAGATGCGGCCCCAAAATAATCATTTATTATTCAAAAAAGAAGAAGAAAGAACAACTTCGAGGGAGAAATCAGTAATCAAATTTACAACGTGCGATTCGTGTTCTCAATCCACAATCCTTTACTTCCACTGCACAATGATTGGCTATATCGATTATTTTATTATATATAAAAAGAAAACGAAAAAGGGAGTCCTCCCTTCCCTTATCGTGTGCCACGAGGCACGAGCTCCAAATCCAGTTAAAGAAGGAAGCACTGTGGTTGCAGCTTCTCCAACCTCAGAAAAGTAGAAAGCCTGCTCAAGGATGTAGCGTCTGGAGACTTGGTCTCGAATAAATACTCGCTAAATCACAGATATCAGATGTGACTTTTGCCTTCTTCCTAATTACTGTTCTGGACCTGGATTATCTTCTCTGCAGGCTGCAGCCTGTGTTTTCTACACACTTGTCGAAGATGACCGGGTGCTTCAACTTGACAGAATCCAAAAACTGGTGCTATAGATCCACCTTCGGAAGGTCGGGGCTCCGATCATCTACCACTGACCTGAAAGACGGGACTATCATGCATTGCTGGGTGCCTAAGACCCGAGTTGAGTCTAAACCAAATCTGCTCCTGATCCACGGGCTTGGAGCCAACGCATTGTGGCAATGGGGCGACATCATCCGCCATTTAACCCCCTTCTTCAACGTGTACGTGCCGGACCTTCTCTTCTTCGGTGGTTCCTACACGACGCGCCCCGAGCGGAGCGATTCGTTCCAAGCTCAGTGCTTGATGCGACTCATGGAGGCTAACTCCGTGCAGAGGCTGAGTCTGGTGGGGTTGAGCTACGGCGGGTTCGTGGGATACAGCATGGCTGTTCAGCATAAGGAAATGGTGGAGAGGGTGGTGCTGTGCTGCTCCGGTGTGAGCATGGAAGAAAAGGACCTGAAGGAAGGGCTTTTCCCGGTGGCCTTGGAAGAAGCTGTCAACATTTTGGTGCCGCAGACGCCGGACAGGCTAAAAGAGCTTCTCGGATTCACGCTCTCCAAACCCGCTATGGTGGCTTGGTTGCCTTCTTGTCTCCTTATTGATTTCATTGATGTAAGGAGCTACTTCTGTGTCTCTAGTTTCATTTTAATTTTACCAAGCCATTATAACATTTTCCTTTGACAAGACTAGAGTGAGAGCTATTTCTTAGCATAAGTAGCAACTCACAACGAGTTATGAAACTTTGAATATAAGAGCTAGAAATGGTGGATTTGGGTAGGCAATGTGCAGGGATCATGTTGAAGAGAGGAGGGAATTGATCATAGCAATCGCGAAGGGCCGAAAGCTTTCTGATCTCCCACGGATTTCTCAGGTTCGTTCTTCCATGCCCCTATTACATGTTCAACATCGGACAGTTGTGTAGGTTATTACAAGTTTTTATTTCTCTTTTTCGGAAGCAGCCTGCGTTACTGGTGTGGGGAGAACGTGATCAAATCTTCCCATTGGAACTGGCTCACAGATTGAAAAAGTCAGTGACACTCTGACCCTTTTCTTATTTTGGGACTTTTTATCGCCCCTTCTCAATTGGGAATCTTGAACACAGGCATTTGGGGGACAACGCTGAACTAGTAGTCATAAAAAACACAGGACACGCCCTCAATGTGGAGAAGGTCAAGGACTTCTACAGTGTCCTCAAGTCTTTCCTCATCGAGTTGAAGCCTCCTGCCTTTGCAGGCTCCCCATATCCCACATCTCGCAACAAATCGTGAGTTTCAACACCAAAATGGATACTTAAGACAGACATTTCCAATCTTTTCTGCTGCTAAACCATTGTAATACTTCTCTGGTCATTGTATAGGAATTCACTGGTTTCATTTTGGATTCGTTGTGACTTGTGAGGAGTAAAAATTAAAGACAACCCCCCCCCGGCCAAAAAAAAGTGCTATATTTACTTCTGCTACTCTCATTCTTTTTTGTATTTAATCTTTTAGAAAAGTTTCGAGATCATCATTTATAAGTTTATGAAGCATTAATTTTTTATCCTAAAAATAGATTGCATGTATTTTTAAATTCATGATATTTTGTGGGGCAAAAATAGAAACAAAAGTAATTTTTAGACTATGTTATTGATGTAATTTTATTAACTTATTCAACAAAATAAGTCGGAGGAAGTTTTTCAATAGAAATTTTTTAGTGTAATTTCTTATGAGAAAACAAATTTTTTTTTTTTAAAAAGACCAATTTAACTGTGAATGCTGCAAAAATAACTGAAAGTTTTCTCTAATCAGTAACCCAGGCAAATATCATATATTTTTTTATGTGCACCTGGACCTGGTATTCAGAGTCCTTAATCAGTAGCCGAAAACAATGACACTAAAGTAGAAGAGGCCGACCGACGATAGAAGTGTCATTGTCATTAACAAGGGGTAATATTATCAAAGCACAGGCTGGCAGATCCGGTGTTTTTTATGAGTAAAACCATACAAACGGGCCGAAGAGTAATTTTTTCTACAACTGACCAAACATAGCTTCTCCATCTCTTTCGTGACCAAATCCATTATTTACACGACAGTTTCCTATCCAACCATCCCACCAAACGAATTCACATCATCAATTGATCCATACAGAAAATCTCTGATACAAAATAGTTCAACTTTAGCAAGTAGCCCAGTAACAGCTGCAAGGTGATACAACACTTACACTAGCTTTATCTTTCCTCTGCTTGAGATTCATCAACTTTTGATGGCTCAGCTGCCGGGTTGAAACATGGTGATTGAAAGAATCAACACATGGTCTTAAATTAAAAAAAAAAAAAATTCCTGAATGGAAAGTAACAATCTTAAAATGCAAATGCAACAAATCTTCTCTAGCTGGTATCAGCAAGCACGCTGTTTCTACTCTATGTATTAACACAGTGTGCAACTTTAAGAACTTCAGACTTCGTTTCATAAATTTTAAAAGCACGTATAGCATCAGAATCAAATTCAAAGGGAGATCAGTTTTCATGAAATATATGACATAGAGTGCATGCATCATAAAAAATGGCCGGCAACTTCACCCCAGAAAGCAACAACTTAAATCATGACCCAAGAACAGGTACATGCTGGGATGACCTTAAATTATAAGCTCCATGTCCCAAACTATGAAAGTATTATGTCCTAATATATCAGTCCGTAATACCCATATAAGAAAAATGTTTAATAATAATAGCAACCATGAAACTTGTGCATCATACTTGGGCTCCAAAAATTGAGGCTCAAATTAAAAACCAGGCAGTTTTAATTGTCAAAAGAACTACATGACAAATTACAACATGTGCAAAACTATAGCATTGATATAAATCATCGCAAACCAACCTACAAGCATTTGTAAAGAGTATTAAGCAAGGTTGGATGGAAGTAGTCAACAGTGACAAACTAAGTAATACGACAATCTAATTTTGGAGGTTCTTTAGATCCACCATAGAAAAAAGGGTAACGTCAAAATTGGCTGCTAAAGGAATATTCATAATAGCAGCCCTTTAATATCAGGAAAGAGGCATTACATAAACTCACCTCCCTCCTCGGTCAAGTCTGAGGTCCATAAGGTGAGATTGTCCCTCAAAAGTTGCATAATTAGGGCACTATCCTTGTAGGATTCTTCATTGAGATTATCAAGTTCAACACTAGCCTCATCAAATGCTTGCTTGGCCAGATGGCAGGCCCTGCATACGGCATATATAAACAGCACACGTAAAAATGGAAGGTGGCAATTTACAAAAGCCCAAAGAAACAATTGAATGAAAATGTAAATTTGGCATTTCAGTAAAACCAATATGATACAAACACAAAATCAATCACACAGCCTAAGCTACATTAAAAATTATTAAAAGAGATTGGATAGAGGATTATCCGATGGAGCGTTCCTGCGAGCCGAAAACCGGATGACCACTGACGCGTCTCTCACACAATGCTAATTCTCATTATTCCACGGCACAAATTCTCGTCTCCAACCAGGTCAGATTCACTCTCTTTGGTATATAGTATAAACCTTTCCTTTTAGCGTTTTATTGTTGATGCTCTATAAATCGCTATTAATCGTCCACAACCCATGCCAAATTATACTCGAAACTTTATTTTTAACCGTAAAAGAATGGCATCCGGCTTTTCGACAAGAATGATTGTCATTTTAAGTTTAAGCAAGAGAATTTTTTTAAAAAAAATGTAGGGGTAACGAAGAGAAACTTGTAAATTATGACATTAGATAATGTCGAAGTTGTTCGTAGCTGATTCTTCCGTCCGTCCTCCAACTCCTTACTCCAGCACGACGCATCCAGATTTCCGTGTGTTAATTTTCTTAAAATGTCTGCCTTCTATTCATTCATAAATAGATCTATAGGATAGTTTGAAGGGAAAAAAACAATAAAGCAAGCGAAAAAAGATTGAAATTTTATACTTGTGACCAAAACAAACCCACTTTCACTATCATTCAGGATCGAAACATACTTCACGATTTAAGTCACTTAGGAGCATACCATTCAGTGCTCTCACCACTGTTTCGAAATATACATTGTTCAGCATACAATACCTCGCCGAGAGCTTCACGAGTGTACTTCACGAATTAGGAGAATATACCCCTCGCCAGCGAAAGAATTAGGAGAATAAATTTTTGGTGATTTTGAAATAATTTTGCAAAACTTTGGTAAAATATTTAGAAAATTGTTTTCATTGGACAAAATTTTATAAAATCTAACTGGTAGTTCCCTGGTCCTGTCAGAAACGGGTGACTTTTAATCCAATATGACAATTTTGTTGAAGTATATCCACCGTAAATCCGCTGTTCAAACATCAAAACTCCAGCGTCCAATCAAGAAAGACTAGTTTAATCAACTGGCCGCCCAACAGAGAATAACCTGCATGCGCGAAGAATGATAATTCGGATACGTGTAGCTTGTGAAAGCAACGTCTCCGAATATGAGCGATCTAATTAACACGACTATTTTTACCCTCGCTAGGGTTAAGAAGCATCACCATCTCATCCGTATCAACACAATCATGCATTTTAGTCCACAAGCATGATGACCAATAATACTCAATAGGACTATGCAGCATTTACAATCACTTCATTCTCAACAAGAAATAATTTATGTAGTGATGGTCAACAATGGGCCTTCATGTAAGCCTACAAGGCAAAGAATTAAAGACTTCAGCTTGAGTTTGCTAATTATAAAAGCTATTCACATCGAAGTCCCAAATTTCTATCATGCCAAATGCATAAGTATTCTAAATCATGTGGCCAAATGTGGAAGGAGTAATTTATTCATTCAGGAACCTGATAACCTTCTTAATGATCATCAAGCCACGTACCACCCATGAAGGGGTCTGAAGATAAATCCTATAACACGAGTTCCACGCTCTACATTGCCGCCAAGCCTTTCAGAGGGTATACGCTCATCAAAGAAATCTGGTCACCAGTGCAATCAGCTTACTGGTGCATCACACGGCTGGTGCTACCCTCCCCAATTGAAACTGTGGCAAGGGATTTGGAAGCCCAAACTTTAGCATTCAGTGCTCCTTCCTGCAGGTTACTTCTCTTGCAAGGCACTCTTAGACAGCTTATGGACTGCATTATTCGCTTCAGATATACCAAAGGATGTTCCAACAAACTCCCTAATCTAATATTTTGGATAACACTTTTCCAAACACATTGAAAGCATTTAAGCAGTGTAGGGAAAATGAAGTATAGTAGTCTCAAAAGCACAAAGGCAGTAGCCAGAGCTAAATATGTCTCCTGCCGCAGCAAATTTTCTGGCGATCTTGCCCAAGAAAATGGACAACTTTCTGGCTCAGTGTGTCCATGTTTCTCGAGGACTGATAGGCTCCCAATTTTCTCAAGAGACAGCTGGCCATGTGAAAAACTCCTGATCCCTGCATTTATGAGAAAAATAACAAGAGGGCACCGTCACATGAAGCTTACAAGCATAATCACACGAAAGAGATGTTAAGGGACTTCTTCCACACCTGAGACAATTTTTAAAGAAAAACACATGTTAAAAAAAAAAAGATAAACGATAACAACATATCATATGGCCCAGACCGTGCTTCAACTACAACACAAAATGCAACACAGGTTAACCAAGGGCAGTGGCAAATCATGTCAATGGAAACAAGCATCCAAATTTCACATTCACCAATTACCAAACTGAAACGAAAATAATGAACATCTTATGGCAAAATGACACTCCACCAGATGAAACGAACAATTTCCACAGCATAAAGTTGGAAGTATTCAAGTAAAGCCACCCATTTCTTCTGTGTACATTTGGGAGATTACATAATAAGGGAAAACTTTTCATATCCGGAGCCATTCTGGTGTTGTTTCAGGAAGATTGGGACATAATTCTAAAATGGACTAATAAGTTCCTTTGTAGTGTTTAAATAATTCAGACTACTTTAAAGGGCAATGAAAACTAGCTACATCAGAAGATTTCGTGCAGACCTAGCTGCATGAACTGATTAAAATGAAGAAGTCATTTAACAAAATAAAAGCGAAAAGAGGGCAAGAGTGAACTTACCAGTAACATCACTATAGAAATCTAATAGAGAGATAAGGGTTCGGGACCCATGATAACGAACACGCATGGTAGAATTTAAAATGAATAGTGTAGGGAAGCCATGGACACCATATTTTGATAGTATACTGCAAGCGATGGATTCACGTTATTTTCAGCAAAGAAAAAAATGTACTGCAAGCAATTCATAAAAGAAGCGAAATAACACAAACCTAGGCCTGACAGTTGACTCTTCAATTGCAAAATGTGGAATGGAAGGGTACTGGGAAGACATGATGGAGAAGATTGGTCTAAATATCCTAGAGAAAGGGCACCAAGATGCGTAGAAGAGGACAGCCACATAATCATGATTATTCTTGTGGACCATATTTAATGCCTTTTGCAATGAAATTTCATCTCCCTGCATATTATGATGTATAAAATCCATAAGAAGTATACCTTCAATCTTTTATCATCTTCATCAATGTGGACAAAGTTCCATACATTGTGGAACTCATAAAATTAATGAACAAAAATAAACATCAATAAGCCAAAACTCATCAATTTGTTGTAAGGTGTGCATCCTAGTTTGCTCTGCAGTTGCTGTTGAATTCAGGGAAAAAGAAAATGCCAAAACTCACGCCAAAGCTACATCTTAAGAACGCCACCGCTTTATTTGTGATATGAACAGCTATAAAGCAGAAAGATCATAAATAGCATGAAAAAATTATAAACCGATATAGCTTCTAACATCACGCACATATACAGCATAGTCACAAGTGTGCGTGAAACACAATACAGAGTACTCTGATTAAAATCTTAAGATCGAAATCTATCAATGTGGCTTATGTACGCACAACAACAAACTAAATAATAAAATAAAACTTCAAATATGAAACAAGAAACCATGTGTTCAAAGGCTTTCGTCAAGCCCAAAAACAAATAAATGAAACGAAGCTTAAGAGGTGAACATCACAGTATGATTTTCTCAGAAGCTCAATCATTTTCCTAAACGAAAACCGTAGTTTTAGGTTAAGTTATCGCAACCCTTTCAAAATTCTTCCCGACGAGAATTTGAGATTCATCATCTCAAGTGTACAAAGAAGATGCACTTCCGACCCCAAAACTACGCATCATCGAAGTTAGGGATAAGTTGAATTCCCCAAGGACGCATGAATTTTGCCCTCGACAAGGCAACCAAACTACGCGAAAGCAGCTAAGCAATCGAAAATCAGAAAAATCAAGGAAATGAGAGATATATTACAAATTAGAAAACGTGTGAAAATAAAAGAAGAGTATTCACCTCGGTGACACCAACATATTCGTTGGATCCAACAGCATCGCCAAGCGAGCAGCTCCAATCACGAAACCCTAAGATCGATTCGGAGAGGGACGCGGGAGAACAAACGCTGCCCGCAAGATAAACCGCAGGCGGTCGGGCGGCGCAAGTAAGGCTCCCCGAGAGCAACACGGCTAAGGCGACATGGAACCCCCAAAGCCCCATCCCGAACGATCCCATGGAATTGGAAAGTTAGCTCGAAGCTAACCCGAAAGAGAAAGGACCCACCGAAAGCGGAAAAGGAAATACAAATCCTAGAACATGGAATTGGGGGCGAGGGTGAAGGAATAGGGACGTTGCAGAGCGTGAGACCGGCGGGTCGTGTAAATTTTGGAAGGGTGAGGCTTTGAGAGAGAGGCGGTGGCGTGTAGGAAACTGAGTGAACAGTTAAATTCTGCAAAGACGGTTGGGTTTGGTGGTGGTGATGGGGGTTATGGGAGGGGCGATGGGGATCGGCATTAAGCAATAAAATGGAAGGACTAGCCGACGGACGAAGCAGGTCGGCGACTCGATCAGGAGAAATTCCTAATCACCTTCCTCTCGAGCAAGGGCCTCGGCAATGCTTCGGTTCCTTCTATCTTTTTCGATAAACACTATTAAAATAGTGATCCATACGCATATTTGACATATTAAATTCAAGAGTAAAAGTTAGGCCAAAAGGTTGGGGTTAAGGTTAAAGGTCATATTTAAATAAAATTTTAAATTTTAAAAATTAAATTTTTTTAAAATAACTGAACTTAAGGGTCTCATCGATTAAGTCTTGAATAATAAAAAACACAAGCCCAAATGATTCTTCAAATTATATTATTTTATTATCATTTTTAAAAAAATTTTATGAAATGCGTGTTTAATTAGTTTGAAGAATAGACCTTATTATTAACCCTAATCACTTGATTTTCTAAATCCTACAATTGCCTCTTGCTTCTTTTTGCTTGTCTTTTCCTCACTGCCTCACACTTTCAACCACAGCTTGTCAACCACTCAACCTCGCACCCCTCGTCCCTTGTCTCTCCCTCTCTGTCTTGCATCTCATCCACATCTCACATCTCTTCCCTAACAGGCTAAATTTTGCTCTCTTTCTCGCCTCTCATATCTGTGAAGGTTGATTCTGCTCCTATAAAGTAAAAAAAAAATCTTTTAATGATCGATGGGATAGCCTGAGGCGATAAAGCAATTCTGTTGGAACAAACCAATAAGAGAATCTTGATGGACTTGGTGTAACATCTTGAAGAAATTAATTTTAGATTTATTAAGTAATTAAGGATAAATTAGACAATTGATAGTTGACTCAAATTGAAAGATAATGTATGGTTAATGTGTTTATCGAACCCTAATTAGGGCTTAAAATTAGACCTTGAGTGGTATTGGCCACGTTTTAGGCCTAATTAGATGAACCATGTTCGAAACCTTAAATTTTAGCCTTTGGCAGTAGCCAAAATTCAATTTTTAAACCTTCAGATTTGCATTTCAACTCATAAAATTAAAGATTTAAGTGGGAGTCCAAATGTGACAAGGAGAACTCTGTTAAGGTTTATTGTGAGCATCCAATTAAGTCTTTTTAAAGCTTACAATCACCTAGATAAGTGCCTACAACCTCTTCTCTTCCTCTCGTGCATTTTTATCATTGTTTTTAGATAGTTCTTTGGGAATTCGAAAATGAATTGTGATTTTTCCTAAAATTCTAACTTCAAGGAATTAATAGGTGTTTATTTAAGTGTCTAATATTTGGGTTATAATGCTAATGAAGTTTTAGAGTTTTAAAGTGAGGTTTGAAGTAAACCCTAAAACTAATTAATTGAGATAAAAAGGTTATGAGTTATTAATGATGTTGACTGGGCTAATATGAGTCTAAATGAACTAACGAAACCTTAAAATGAATTTAATTGTGGGTAGATGATCACAATAGGGTTTTTGGGTTTAGGCTTTGATTAAAGTTAATTAAAGATAATTAGTCATTAATGACTATTTATGAGTTTGATTGTAGATTAATTATTGTTGGTGCTATTTAGCTTATTGGAGGCTCCATTTGATATTCATATGTACTCTTAGTTTACCAACTAAGAGTTGAGGTAACAAAAAATTTAAGTATTATTTACACTTTAAGCATTATTATGGATGGTTTTAAATGAGCTTACGAATGAATATGTTAATTTTAAACTATTACCTAAATATGAAACATGACTTATTGTGATGAAATGTTTGTTGATTATATTTATATAAATGTTAAGCATAGATTGCCTATGAGATGAATATGTTAACATGATGAGTGGTTATAATTGATAATGTTGGAAGAGATGTGATACTATTTATGCATATGTGATGAAATGCTTGATGATTATATTTATATAGATTTTATTTGGTATTTGAAAAATGAATTGTGAGCCTAGATTGATTATGAGTTTATTATATAACTAACTATTGTAAATTATAATGTAGTGCAAACTGTAATAAGCATGCAAGTTTTAGAAATTATAATGATGATGAATTGCTATGATATGCATGAACTTATATTCACATTTGTTAATTGAACTTACATGACTATAATGGGTGGGAGTTCACCCTAACATAGTATAAAGGTTATTATAGAAAATCCAAGTGGCGTAGCCTTCATTGAGTTTGCACACAGTAGTTGGCATATTTCATTATTATATGTGCTCACCATTCCCAACAATCTACGGGTATAGCATAGGTTGAGCACGCTCAATATCACCGGCCCTAGATTAGACAGTGTGGGTCAGCACTTATGACACCTTTGAAATTCAAGTAGAGGGAATTCATAGTTCAAGAGTAAACGGGGGAGTCTTTGGTCAGGTGACCTTTCACAATTGAAAAGCAGAGTTAATCTAGTCACATGAGCTAAACCTATATAAGACAATAGCCCATAAATTTGGTTAGATGATATAAGGAGTTGTATAAGGCGGTTGCATTTGATTATACAAAATACATTATAAAGATGCATTTGTGAATAATATTGGTTTGTCTTATGTGATATTAAACGTTTAATTATTGTAATTGCCACACTTTAATATGCTTAATTAAATTACTTAGTCATTGAGATATTTATCTCATTCTCATAGTTTAATGTTTACAAGTGAGGATCAAACTAAGAGCAAAGGGAGGCCTGTGAAGCTAAAGACTGAGTAATCATTTATAACATCTCTAGTTTTATCTTTTATATATAATTTGAATACAATATTTACCAACTAGAGGTCTTTTACATGGACTTATATTTATTTAAAGTTCACTTGCATTTTTAGCTTAAAATATTTAATTTTAGGCATTTTTAGATTGTCTTGACCATAGTAGGGTTCTAACTAGAGCTGGGAAAATGAGTTAAGCTTGCAGGCCAGCCTTTTTTAAATAATTTTATATTTTCAATCACATTATATGTTTTTATAAAAATATAATAATAACAATATTTTTTAAATATATAATTTATGACTCTCAAATATGTTATTTACATTTGAAAGATAGTGTAAATCTTTCTTGCAGTTTGCAAATGAAATTTTTGTTATAGTTTGTAAATCAATGATTTGTTAGTTTCTATAGAAATATTTTAAATATATATTATTTGTTAATCTCACAAGATCTAATGATTGAAATCACAAATATAAATTTATTAAGAAAAATAATATGGGTTTATATTAAAATTTTATTTCTCAGTAAGAAAGATAACACACTTAGACGAGAAGATGATTAATAGTAAAAATCTAGCAAAATTAATTTGCTTGGTTGAATTCTATGTTTATTTTATTTATTTACAAGTTTTTTTAATTGATAATTTTCCTTAAAATATCAAATAAATATATAAATTTATGTTATATAAATTTTAAATTGTTAAAAAAATTTGATAAATTTATACAGGCCAACCCACTAGCTACCTAGCCCACCAGAAAATAGGTTGGGTTGGATTTTTCAATCTGTTTTATATAGTGAGCTGGGCCAACCCAAGTTGTAAAAATGCCAGCACACGAGAGCTAGCTCACAAGTTAGCCCGTAGCTTGTTTTTCTAATACTAGTCCTAACCCCTGAACTAACTATGATAGTGGATCAAGATAGTTTAAACAAGTATATTTTAACAAGTTAAATAAGTTTTATATATTTTGGGTGATTGTTTAGCTTGAATATAAAAAAATTATATTTTTACCCCCTCATTTTGTGTCTTGTGGTCAATTCTTATATTAAAAGTTGTTTAATGCTTGTGACTATTTGGACAAGTGTATTAAGACTTATTAAGTGTGGTTCAAGCCTTTGTGTGGGTTAATGGCTTACGATTTGAAATTTGGACACTTGGTTGATGATTTAGAAGAAAAAATGTGAAGTTTTGGTTTTGGGTGTTCAAATTCTTCATTTGATGTCGGATTGATATGAAACTAAAACTATTAGCTATATTATAAAACTTTTTACACGTGAACACTTGAATCACCTCAGTCGAAAATACGAATCAAAAGTTATAAGCATCAGAAGTTCATGGTTAGGAGTTATCATGACAAATGCTGTCATGAGGTCTTGGCTGCAACTTAAAGATTATCGACTTAGAGGGCTTAAAGGCTTGGCTCTGAGCCCTATTAGTAAGGGTCGAACTTCAAAATTAGGCCAAAATTTAAATAATTGAGCTTTAAAGCTTAAGCTCTTAAGAGTCAGGCTTGCCCGAATTTTCATCTCTATTACATATATGTACAGTTGTAAGTAGATAGGGGAACACACCTTTGTTAAGGGGAAAATTTAGATGAGTTTGTTTTGAAAGCTCGTTAAAGCTTAGCTAAGGTTCAAGATTCTTGATTCTCACATCAATAATAACGTTTGATCTCACCATTTTATAAGTTATGATCAAATGCTTAAACATTAGCAAACACATTTTGAAATGTAATAATGTTTGCAATTGATTTGTAAATAGTTTTTCGTATGTTTATATTTTATAAAACCTTTTTTTACCTGGGTTTATTTCCTTTTCTCGCATGACAATATCTTATACATTTTTTTTGAGTATCTATATGTTGCTTAAATTGTTTTCTAGTAAGGGTCCATTTGGTTTTCAATTAAAATCTCTAAAAGGACTTTTAAAATGGATTTTGGATTTAGATGTTGTTTGATTTCCATTTTTTTTCAAAAAGTCCTTTCTAGATGTGATTGAATATGCTTTTAACCAACTTAAAATTTTTTATTTTTGAAACTTATATTCTAAAAGCAACATTTAGTACTTATTCAAACTAACTTGTAAAAAAATATACCAAAATATAAATTTCATTACAATAATTAACTTTTACTAAATTAATTTTTATCAAATGAACTTTTGACAAACTAACTGTTACCCAACAGAAAACAAACACATACTAACATGTTTGATCTATAGCAACAATAGTGAAAACACAAGATATAAGCACTTTGCTACTGTACATCAATGTTAAATGAACAGCTAAATTAGATGATAGCACTATTAAGTTAGTAATCATGAGTAATTTTAAAATATTAAACTTACAAGAAAATTTTGAAATTTCATTAAGATTTTTTTTAGACAAAGTCACTGAGATACTTTGGTAGAAATAACAAGATTAGATATACTTCATAAAATCATACTATTAA